GGGTCCCTTATCGGAGGTTCCACTGTACATAATAAAGTATTCTACCCATACTACTTTGCACTTTGTACCTTTTCGCACTCGATGAGTTTCTGCTGAGCCATGTCAAAGTCAAACTTTATGTAGAGACACTCGACAAACTCTGTGATTGGGTCTCTGTAGGCATGTGACTCCTGATAAGAGGGGGGGAGGGGGGAGAAAGAGAGGGGGGAGGGAGAAAGAGAAAGAGAGGGGGGAGGGAGAAAGATAGGGGGGAGGGAGGGGAGAAAGTCAGACATGCATGAACATGAGAAAAACGGTGAAGAGAGAAAAAAATGAAAACAGAGAAACTGTGGATACGAAAGGAATACGAATGTGTGCATTTCAAAGAGTTGTTTGAGAATGGAGCTAATTTATGGGGGACTTGCCCTTTTGATGACTCTGATGAGGTCCTTGAGAATGGACTGTCTTCTCTTGTTGGTGATGACTGCTGCAGTTACGTAGCGGAGGATGTGTGGACAGCTGGTGTGGATGGCATTCAGGTAGCTGGGAGTAGGGGGGAGGAGAGATGAGGGAAAAGTGGAAGATGAGCAGAGAAAAAGGACAACAGAGATACAACACCAGTGAACACGGACAGTATTTCCAGGTAACTGAGTGTAACCCAGTACCTCGCCAGTAGCGCTTGCATCGCCCCTGGCTTCTACCAGCTAGGAGGGTCTTGTTCTCTTACAGTACGAGTCTCAGCACATTCAATAGAATACAGCTGCCATTAGACTTGGCTAATGCTAGACTGGCCCCACGTGGGCTCTCTATGCACAATTTTTTTAATTTATATGGTATATAGAGTACGCATGAATATAATGTATCGGTCTTTACATGAGTTCGGAGAGTTGTAAGGTGTGAAATCCAATGGTTCAACAGTAAGTGTGTAGCAACAACTTTTCTTTAGAAAACAGGTATTAGCGTCACCATACACCCTTCCTCTCCCACATAATTGGAAGATCGAGGACAAAGGGTTAAAAAATAAGTGCCAGTAGATCGGTGCACAGTGAAGGGCATTAGTGCCGAAGAGCACATTGTAAACATGCCGCTCTAAATATTTGGCCTTATTATTATTATATTCCTGACAATTCTACCGGCATTAAAAAAACCATCCCATTTATGAGCTAAACACCGTGTCATGCAAGAAATACAAGAAAGAAATGGAGGCAACGTATTGAAGTTGCCTACTCGGGTTTGTATAGGAGTAGTTCGATGATGTCGTCCTGACCCTTGGCGTGGTTGAAGAAGACGAAGAGACTCCAGTGGATGAGCCAACTCCTCTGCTGGAGACGGAGGAGGTGGGGTGTGTGGATCTGGGGAGGGGGGAGAGGGGGAGATGCATACAACTGAGGCAAGATAATATACGTAGGGGAATATGAGTAAGGGGAAAGATTATAGTCAGAACAGACGGAGGAGGTGAGGCGTGTGGATCTGGATATTATTGAGGCAAGAAAGTAAGGTGAAACTGGGCAACGAAGGAGATTAATCTAAGTAAGGAGCTATAATTATAAGTATACTTGCTTACGGAGTCGTCGATGTGTTTCCTGAGGTTGTTGAGTTCCTCGAGGGCAGACTCCCAGTCTGCCACCAGGATATAGCACGACAGTCTGCCCCACATTCCACTCAGTGTGTTGTGGTGATCACTGGGAGCCTGGGGGAGTGTGTGGGCATGGGGAGGGAGTGGGGAGAGAGGGAGATAGAAGGCAGTGAGACGAGCTCCACTATGAAAACGGTTTGTCCCCCGAATGATGGCTCAAATCTTTAACCTTGGCGCACATGCGCAGCGAGGGTTACAGTACTTGAGAGTAGTGTTGTCTGGGAGTGCTTATTCACTCCCCCCTATATCTCTAATACAAACCTATTAATCCCTCCCCCAAGTCCCCAACAAAAACCCCTGAGTTCTGTAAAACCAGAGAGTAAGTAAGTAGCTAAAACACACAATGCATGCAGTCTTACACAAACACATTCATCACTCCCCCCAAGTCCCCAACAAAAAACCCTAAACCCAGAGAATAAGTAGCTAAAGCCCACAGTGCACGCAGTGACACACACTCACCAGTACCTAGAGCCCACAGTGCACACAGTGACAACAAACTCACCAAACCAAACCCACACACACAACCACACCACCAACCAACCCACAACACCAACAACACACCACCGTACCTAGAGCCCACAGTGCACACAGTGACACACACTCACCAGTAGCTAGAGCCCACAGTGCACACAGTGACACACACTCACCAGTAGCTAGAGCCCACAGTGCACACAGTGACACACACTCACCAGTAGCTAGAGCCCACAGTGCACGCAGAGTTAGTGACACACACTCACAGAAGCTAGAGCCCACAGGCAACGAGAGATGACACACACTCACCAGTACCTAGAGCCACCGTGCACACAGTGACACACACTCACAGACCTAGAGGCCCACAGTGCACACAGTGACACACACCACCAGTACCTAGAGCCCACAGTGCACACAGTGACACACACTCACCAGCTACTAGAGCCCACAGTGACGCAGAGTAGAGTGACACACACTCACCAGAGCTAGAGCCACAGCTGCACGCAGTGACACACACTCACCCGTACCTAGAGCCCCAGTGCCACACAGTGACACACACTCACCAGTAGTAGAGCCCACAGTGCAACAGTGACGCACACTCACAGTAGCTAGAGCACAGTGCACGCAGTGACACACTAACAGACTAGAAGCCCACAGTGCACACAGTGACACACACTCACCAGTAGCTAGAGCCCACAGTGCACGCAGTGACACACACTCACCAGTACCTAGAGCCCACAGTGCACACAGTGACACACACTCACCAGTACTCGGTAGAAGTAGAGATACTCGGAGGCCTCGGTGTAGTTGCCACACTCGTACTTGAACTTGGCACAGTTGTACACTAGATCCACCATCTCCGGCTTGAACTATAATTATACCAACAGTAACTATTCATCAACCCACAATACAGTGAAACTAAAACGTTTGCAAAGATGATGATTCTGTGAACATAAATATAACTTTGTGTAAAAAAACCGTGCCAGATAGCCAATCACACTAGCGAAACATCTCGTGCAAAAGTCGCTTTACTCCTATCTCAAAGTGTTCAGTCTTACAGTCCATGCTAATATGTATATGAAGTGTAGCTCTTCAGATTGCGTATGTACATTAACGTGCATGTACATACATACAGTATGGAGCTTACATTATGGTTCTACATACAGTATGGAGCTTACATTATGGTTCTACATACAGTATGGAGCTTACATTATGGTTCTACATACAGTATGGAGCTTACATTATGGTTCTACATACAGTATGAGGCTTACATTATGGTTCTGTGAGAGGTACTCAAAGAGTGTTAGGTCTTCCCTGAAAAAGAGGAACAAGATGGAACAGCGTTCTTACACTACTCGATCGGTAAGCAAAGACACACAAGACAGAAACATAGAGAAAAAACAGGGAAAGCAGGGAGGGCGACATTGGCCAATAAAACGGGGAATAAGTTGATAAAGGGAAGAAATTCTCATTTTAACTGTAATTGGTGGCAAAGGGAAGACTCAAAGCTAGGGTAGTGATGGTGACAGAGATAAAACGACGGTATATACTTCTTTTGCTCCAGGTACTCCTGGACTTCAGGGTCTTCAAATAGCTGAACTATGGGATCAATGGTCTCCTCAAACTCGTGCAGTTTCTCCACCACATGTTCTCTTTTCTGCAGCAACTCTGCCAGGAGGTTAAGGACAGAGATTGAGGCATATACATACGGATAATGAGATTAAGATAGACTGAGGAATAAGTATAAGAAGAGAGAGGGCTATTAAACTGTGTATGCCCATAGAAAGGTCAAGAGAAAAGATTATCCAGTTATGACCAATTAACGCTAAACTTGTAGACAGCGATCATTTTCTGTATTGGCTACATAAAGAATCTCTAACGTTTTATACTGTAAATCACAACCCCCCCCCTCTAGATACTACATTTTAGGGATTAACAGACGAAAACTGCCTCGCATCATAAACTATCTGTTCTGTAATGGAGCTATGAAATGGAGGTATATAGTTACCAGGAGGGGCAGGAGCATCGTCATCCTGATGCAGCTGTTTGTATATGTCCACTGCATAGTCCACCTGTGATTCCATTGAACTAGCATTTACCACCCACGTCCAAATACGAGGGAGTGGCACGTACCATGTTAGTTTGACTCAGCAGTTCCAGTCTGGCCTTCAGCATGTCTCCCTCCTCGTACATCTAGTTAATAAACAACACCAGATCCAAATAATTATGATACACAAATGAGTACATGTGTATGTCCCTTGTCACACTTCTTTCTCTTCCCTCTTTCTATATGTAAGTAAAGCATGAGCTGTTATTTTACATGTACATACAGCTAGGACAGAAGATACAGAGCTTAGCTACAACTTTACCAGTAGACTATTCCTCATTGCCACTTATATGACATAATGAGCTTTTTTACGTGTACGAGAGGTCTATAAAAAGCGTAGAGACGATCGTGGAGATATGTAGCTACCTTCTTCTCAGAGAGGAACTCTAGCATAGGGAAGACGAGGTGGCGGTCCAGGTAGCCGCCTATGACTGACGTCAGATCGTACTGTTCCTCGCTGGTTACCTCGGCAGCCATGACACAGCCTCCACAAACACGACGAAAAGAAGGCCTAGCGATCGTCCGTGCACGTGTAAATCGTGAGCAAAGGGTTAAATATTCTGAGCATGCGCATTATGCTGCATGCGTCCATATCCCATGGACGTCTGGACGCTGGCATGAGGAACAATTTTCATTTGGCTCAGGATACCTCCCCAATTTTGCAAATGACACTTTCAAGTGAGTTAAGAATACAATACTGAATGCATTTCACATTTCATGTGTATGAATAAAATGAGATTGAAACAGAAAGAGAGAGAGTAAACAATGATTATGAGGTGAGCTTTTTAGTCATCAGATGTAGACCGACTTGCGTCTCTTGGTCGGAGAAGTGGAGGTTTTGTGACGTAAGTTGCGAACTTGACCGATGCCTTCAGCGACCCTCCACGACGTACGTTGGCGTTTCCGGGATACACGGGAGCCGATGGGAAAGGGGCGGAGTTTGGGGCATGGTAACGGAGGGGGCGTGGGGAGGGGGACGGGGCTCCGTCAGTTAGGCTCTCTTTCGAGTGCATCGTGTCCGAATCTACGTGGTACATGGAGCCAGCGTAAGAGACATACCCCGAGCTCTGGGGAGATGCCGTGGAAGACAACCGTAGTCTGGTGCCGCCGTGGACGCTGCGTGCATAGGCCTCGTTCAGGGAATGCGACCGCTCTCGTTTTTCACACTCGTCCAGAGAGTAAGTCTCCTCCATGGCCCTGGGAGGGTATTTTGGGAATGACACATGGTCCCGTGGTTCCCAGTGGTTCTGCGGAAAATCAAAAACATTGTATACCTCTACCACAATCGGTATTCCCTCACCACGTAATGCACAATCCATTAATAGTGGGAGTCTGTAGGTTTTGTGGTCTATGGTTTTTCCCAGAAACACTCTACTATAATGTTAACCCCATGTAAGGTGTGGAATTTTGCTGTTGTGTATCAGTGTAGGTTTCCCCATGACATTTACCTCAATTTCTGCAGCAGCGTGGTGATCATCAGGGTCCTCCATAATGGGGTTGATGTTTACGTAGTAGTGTGAACTGTAGCTATTCCTCTTCGATGAAGGCTGAGTGGATACGCTCGCCAGCGAGGCAGTGTCCACGCTATCAAACGATGTTTGGCGGTGGTACAATCCTGCAGCTTGCTGACTACTCTCTGGTCTGTACGAACCGTTGCCCGAGTCCCGATCCACTCGCGGTCTGTCCGCAGCGTCTTGGTCGTGTTTAAGTCTCGGAACGACGGGCGAGAGAGCTTCGCGGAAGGATATAGAGGAGCTTGGGGAAGAGGGAACTGCACTGTCACGACGCTGAGTAGCAACTTGGAGTTGGAGACCTGTGAGAGAAGTCAGTGGGGAGATGGAGCCTGCAGATATGGCGCTATCTCGACGGACATCTAGAAACGGAGGCACCTCGATAAACGCTTCCTTTACCGAAACCAGACTCTCTCCATCTATATCGGACTGTGAAAATGGCAGGCTGTCCACTGTTAGCCGAGGACCAGTGCACCTGCTCATGTCTCGACTGCTTCCGATTTTCCTTGGTTCTTCTGTGAAGTTTACCAAGGTGAAGGGTAAGGGGTGGAGTGTCGGTGACCTACAGTACATGGTGCCCTCGTATTCCACCTTCTTCGTCTTTCTGTCAGAGTGGAGCAAACGGCCGAGAATGCTTTTGCGGAGTTTCGTCAAGCTGTGCACAAATCCGCTGGGACTGCGTCTCTCAATATTATTTCTAGAACCACCCTCTGCAATATCGGGTAGCGACACGCCCTCTTTCTTTGTTATCTCGAGGTTCGAATGTGGGTGCAGTGGCGAGAGTAGGTTTCCTTCGGAACGGCACGCACGTCTCATAAAGCGTACAGGAGTGCAGATGTGTGGATGGGTAGAAGTGAGAGCCGGTGCCTGGCCTACACTGTAGTTCTGACCAGTGCTCTCTTCATTATCTGTGTATTCGACATCCGCATCAGAGCGGAAACTGGTATTAGCACCTGCAACACCTTTACCGCAATCACTGCCCTCCCAGCCGTCGCTTTCACCGATGTACTCCTCTTGTGGAACGGACTCGGCATAGTTGAACAGTGGGAGACTGGGAAGACTGCCTTCTTCGTGCATAGAGCCGCCCCGACTACTGACACTACTGTCATACAGGGAGAGGAGCTCTGCCTCGACGGAGGACATGGGCTGCTCGAGGATACTGATGATGGAGGAGGAGCTGGAGAGGCATGGTCGGCAAGGAACGTGGGGAAGTGACACACAGCCCAGCAGTGATCTTTTTTCCTGTAGAGTGGAGTGGGGAGAGAATTCATCTGTAACCAGGGATTTTAAAGGAGAAACGAAATTGAGGGAGAGATGTGTGCAACGTGATCATTGGTGTGAACGTAGGAAAGGTATCGTGTTTGCATTCAGCACGTTTCGTCCAAAATGCACTATAAAAAAAGACTACGCTCAGAGAAAGCAATGGCTATGCCTCCTGCTTCCTCCCCGAACCATTCCTACGGCTACGCACTGCTTAGCAATAAGAAGCGAGCAATTTTGTTTTCACTTTGAAAAACCCTACAACTCTGCGAAAGGATGGATATGGCTATACTGCCAAGAAAGCGTCGTATGAATCATAATAAGTAGGGGCGGGAGAAAGGGGATGCCCGGGCAAGTTTTATTGAGGCAGTAAACAGAATCACTGCAGTTTGCATCAGCAGAGCCAGTGCAACACATTCTTTGCCTGAAATGGAATACCTTACATCTCGGATGTCACATCCTAGTTACAACTCCCACACAAACACCCATATACTTCACAGGGTATTAGCATCACATTCAATAACAAGGGTAACTACCCAGCTTCATCCTCCCTTTTGAGTAAACTTCCCTTGTACTAAGTACTAATGGGATAACCCTGTAAAATATGGAGTCTTCTGGATTGGCTGAGGAGTGTGACATCAACACCCACAATGTATACACTCATCAGCACCTCGGAATGATTTTGCCGATGCTAGGCATGCCTCTGTGGACTAGCTACATACGAATATGTAGCAAACTTGTTTGTTCAATGAAGGTTATTCCCAGCCCACATTCCATATGGATGAGTTTTACTCCATGTAGCATTAATATACAATTCGCGACATCACCAACTCTACAAAGCAACTTCCTAAGTTTCACAAATTCTGAGGACACATGAAAATGGCAACACTTTCCTTTATCGTTACCTTGTGAGAAGGTGGTTGCCCAACGAAAATCTTAGCTGCAGTCGAGGGTGACAAAGCCGACACGACTTCAATGCGAAGAATCCTCAGTTTCTTTAAGCACTCCTCCCTCTCCGCCATCATATCCGTCACGTAGGGCTCGAGAGAAGCCGGGAGGCCCCACTCCAGACGCACACAGCCCTCCTCCACGGATCGCAGCTGAAACACGTACGGCTCCAGCTCAAAGATGTCGGCAAGGTTTGTCTGGAAGGTGGCAATGTCCTGTAGATTAGTCGACATGTAGTCCCAGTCGACTTTGACGATGAGCTGCGTGTAGCCGGGAGGCACTCTCTGCTCCAAGACAAAGTCAGGGCACTGGTACGCTATCAGACTTATGAAGTGATTCCGAAGATCGGCTTCGTAGTCGGAAATCAGCTTTTTTCCGTCGTCACCCGCGAACTGCTCGGCCACCTCCTTCATGAGGTGATAGTTGTACCAGGAGGAGTACTTGCGGAGGCACTCGACGAGTTGAGTCAGGTCTTTTGACTCTGAAATTTCGTCGGAACCTGAGAACATTGTGATGCTCTCGCTGCCCGTTTTATTCGAGGTTTTGCAGCCAAGAAACTGTAGCATGATGCGGACTTCGTCCACCGGCGTGTTGCTTTGCTTCAGGAGCCGGTACACACCCAACACCATCACAGCAAACGTCCTCGTTATGTTTCTGGTGTCGTGGATGACCTTGCGCTTGGCACTGCTGATCTGCATGGAGTAAAAATAAATGATGTAGTTTCTCTAAAATTTACTCTGAAACAACGTCATAATAACATCTGAAAAAGGGCACTGGATGGAGAACACATCTCTTCCGCCCCACACTAATACATTAGTGTGTAATTATGGGGATCCTCCGAATCTCGGACACTTTCAATGTTCTACAGGTGTGCCTTATTTAGAGGTTTAAAGTATTGTACTGCTTACAATGCAACTTGTTACCTGCTTCTCATCCAAGGCTTGGCAACACGCAGGACCATCCTCTAAGTTCTGAAGTCCTGGAATCCTCAAGCGCCGCATGGGTCGAGACAGCTGGTCAGCAGGGTAGGAACCGATCGATGCCCCCGAGTTTGTGGAGCGAAGAGACCCCGTGTCCTGACTGCTTCCCAGCACTAACAACAGCAAGACCAAGTCCACTGTCGTTCGGCCTTGCTGGTAAATGAGCTGTGGGGTGATCATGGTTCTAATTACATAGTAATTGGTAAAGCGCTAACGTTTTATTCTGTGTATAATAATTATAAAATAGCCACAGAAGCCTCCTGACGATAGATTTGGCAGGTTTATACAATTGTATCAATATGCCCATGAATATAATGACACACAATTATTATGCAAGTTCATAGGTGAGAAAATTAATGTTATAGTCCACATTGAGCACTAATGTTAGAAAGCATACACTAAAAGATGACAAAGTCATCATATTATTAATGAACCATTCTTATTAACCCTCGGTGCGCATGCGCAGCGAGGGTTACAGTACTTGGTTTGTCCGTCTGTCTGTCTGTTACCACGTTTTCGGCTACCACGCGCAACAAACAGGTAAAATAGCGAACGGGTTCAGCACTACACTGGCTTGATTTTTAAAATGGTGATTTTCGTAAAAGTTCCGCGTTCAGAAGTTATGGCGTGAAAACCAAGTGAACAAGCCAATATGCTAATTAGCACTAGCTTACCTTGACCTGATCCGCTTGCTCTGTGTACCTCGGAGGCACAAGAAGTCACAACGAAGGGCGTGTATCGACTCCGACATGCTATCCACTACTGTAGCTAGCCCGTGTCAGACTCTCCGCGAGCTACTTCAGGAGATCACGGGTAAACGCAGATTAATAGGCCCAGCCCATTAATTAGAGGTATCGCGCATGCGCAGTTCGCCGAGGGTTTGCACTTTAGTGCTTTTCATTGTGATCAGCATTAGGTATTGAAGCACCCTCCCAAAAAATCCCCAGCAATCCCAACTGGCAATATAGCAGAGTACCCCAGGGCAGTGTGAAGACCCAGCATCAGAACCACACAGGAAATACTAAGTAAACCAATCTAGATTGTGGTGGGATAGGCCACTAGTCTACCCCATTGTGAGCAGGCTGTTGTAAAAACATGAGGTTGTTGTAATAACTGGTGCGTAGCTAACCTGGAATTGGAATATTTTTGGTGGCCTGTCTTTCTTCCAGTGATCTGACCCTTTTTCTTTCCAAAATGGCATCTTCAAGTTTGCTGGAGAGGTACTTGTGACCAAGATGATAGTCATCTTCTCGCAAGGAGAGTTGGAGGATTTCCAGGAGCATTTCGGCATGATTGGGGCACTTGGTCTTCAGAATGCACACAAACCTAATAAGAGTGCACAAGAGATAACCTTGCTTCATACATCGTAATATTTGTTGCTGACCTAGAGACGTACTAGTAAGTATATGAAAATGTCCCCAGGGGCTTTTCAGATTTCATAAACTCAGCAGGTATCGATTCGGGTTTATGTGACAAGCGAAGGGCTTACACAGGACCACATTGTTGTTGTATATAGTTTCCATTGCCTGGAATGTATATACCTTTTTCTGAAGGTATGTATTGTGTTTCCAACAATTATGAGTCCTAATTTGAGAAACATTGGGCTGCACTCCTTGCACATAATAATACCAAACACACATAAATAGTAAGCGGAACTAATGAGACAATGTCAAGGATCATTAGCTATTATAGTGGTCATCTCATATATTATAATACACCCCAGGAAAAATACCCAGCAAGATTGGGGCTGAGGGAGGCTCAGTCTATGAATATAATATGTCCAGAGGTATACAGAGGAGAGCAAGCTGCTTTTGCAAAATACTTGATCAGAAGAGTGTCAACACAAGGCAACTGCATATCAACAACACCCAGGGCAACACGTTTTTTTTAGAGCAAAAAGAGCTACCCTAACTGGAACCCAACCCCGCAGATACTCTGCTCTCTAGACAGTGTTCCTACCAACTGAGCTACCAGGACAGCTCGGCAGGAAGGGCTCAAGAGTACAATGCAACAGCACAGTGCAAAAGCATAGCATACTTATCAATAGCTTGCGAGGTAGGGTTTGGCTGGTGATATCTCAACCTGCTCAAATTCGTCCTCGGTCAGCAGGTGATGGGCCCTAAGAAACGGTCGGAGATTGGTAATGTTCAGGTACTTCCGCAGATCGGGTGCAATGTCGTCCAGTGCACTCCAGTCCGGATCAGGGTACTCCATCCCGGCAGCCATCGTTAGATTGGAATTGGTCTACTGAAAATTGCGGCGAGTGCCTACGCGCAGCATTGCACAGGAGTCCCACTGAGTCAGACGTCAGCGCAGCTTATTTACGTCACGCTAAGATCCTGTGTGCGTGCTCGAGCATAGTGTGTTGCGCGCGCATGCGCTGTATAAGAATGCACCAAAAAAAAAAAAACACCTGCATGTGAATATATACCACTCAACAAAGCTCAAATACTTGGCTGCCCGTGCTATTGACACGATATCCCCTACGAGGAGAGTTAGCATTAGAAATTGTTCCCTCGGCACCACGAACTGTCGCTTGGCGAGCACCATTGCGTGATGAGGGTGCAATCTGGGGATCGAGGGAAGGAAGAATACAACATTTTTCTTTACTGAAGGGCTACTGTGTGGGCTTTGGTTTGGAGCCTTGCCCGTGAATGTTCCGTTCAGCTCTGTTGCTTCTGGGCTGTTTAAGAGTCTTCGAGTGTGCGGTGAGGTGGGTGGAGACTTCGTATTAGCATCAACAGCAGCAAATGCGGAGGCATCAGAATTCTTGTGAGAAAGCCGGAGGTAGCTTCTGGGAATGCTAAACATAGTCCCCGTTTTTGTTACAACCTTTACTTGGTCGTCCTGCCCACCGAGAATTTTAACTCGAAGTCCCCTGCGAATCGTTACCATGGGGTCATCGGGTGAGGGCACAAAGTTGCGTATTACTGTCATTATCTTGCCACACTCCAGTGGAAGGTTTGGGACTGGTGGTGACATTAGCAGCTTTCTCTTGAAACTCTGCTCAGATGAAGTGTCGTGGAGATATTCGGGAGGATTGCTGCTAGTGACAAGTGTGACTTCATGACTCGCTTCATTTCTGAAGGGAGAAGGTTCTGAGTTCTTTCGAGAAATGCAGAGGTGACTGACTGGAATATCGAACTGTGTCCCGGTTTTGGTGGCAACCCTAAGGCTCCTTCCATCAGGTGAAGACCGAACCACCCTAACACGCAGCCCCTTTCTGATTGTAGATTCCCCATTGCTCAAGTCTGGACGGTAATTCCTAACCACTGTCATCAACTTTCCCGAGTATGAGAACGGTTGCTGCTGAGTATCTCTCCCATGTGCTGGTGGGCTTATGAAATGCGTTTCTTCTCCCCTGAGATTGGAAGGACTTGAACTGGACTTTAGTGGTGAAGTTAGACCTGATCTCTTGAAAGGTGATGGTGGTGACGGTGGCAAGGAACGTGCAGGCGATTCTGCAGTTGTAGGTGAGAGTGTGCGTTGACGAAGGCCTGAGAGTTGTCTCACTGGACTCATTGGGGATCTCAGACCGGTTTGGGTGAGAGGAGAAACTGGAGTCTTCTCGCTTGGTTTCCCTGGAGGTGTTGGTGGGGGAGGTTTGTGATGTTTTTGGGCTCCTCTTTTAGGGCTTCCCTGAACTGGTGGTTGAACGCTGCCATTTATGTTTGCACCCTTGGTATCTTCCTGCGCTGCTGTGACTCGGAGTTTCCTGTGTGCCTCTGGTGTTGTCGGCTTTGATCTGACCTCCTTCAGCTCGCTGAGTGTACCATCAAATAGAAACAGCGGAGGTTGCACGCCAAACTTGACTGGGTAGTCTGCTTGGAATGGTGACCGAGTCAGCTCAACCCACTGCTGGTACATCTTCTCCGACTTTCTTGTCAAGCGACAGAAATTTCTGGCTATAAGTCCAGCCTCTCCACTTTCCTTCACCGCATAGACCCTCTTTTCGTCACAGTAGAGGACCCTGAGCTTATCGCCCGCGTCGACGTTTATTTCTCCGAGTGGCAAGCGGTCGTAGTTGTCCTGAATGGCCACCATTTCTATGGGAGTGTGGATAAGCAGGCGCCTTGCGGGAGAGGGAGCACTATTAGCTGAAGTGGTGGAAGATTGTTTGCCAACACTGGCTGGGAGATCGGGGACGGGGACGTAGAGCTGGGTGTAGCAGAGCTGTACCAGCTGTGAATCAGGGCCGTAGTACTTTCTGGAGATTCTACAGCACTCGTAAGGGATGCACGCCAAGTGGTTGGTCTCGGTCTCGACAATGACTTGCCCCGAAACCCTGTACAATGCACGCACCTGTTGACCCTTCCTGACCCCAAATCCCCTCATTCCGGACTGGTTGTTCTGTATTGGGACAATGTGTAAGAGAGCAGGCCATCGCTGACTGGCTCTCCCCAACACCCTCCACAAGAAACCTTCTCGGGGTGGCTGATCGCTCCCGGCATCGTTTGTTTGACTGAGAGAAGCACCCATCGGCTCACTTATATCATCCATAGAGTGAGAAACTCGGAGTCCCAAACTTGTTTCGATCTCCAGCACCCGCTGCGACAGGTCGAGATCAGTCGTCGACTGCGACGGCTGTGCGAGCTTCTTCAACTGGATCTCGAGGTGCTTAAGGTCAGACAGACCACCATCCAGAGATTGACTCAGTTCTGCCGAAAAAGGCCCAATGTGGTTCTCCTGTACTAAGTACCTCCTATCTGTGGGGGAAGCATGCTCTGCAAAATGAGAAAGTTCCTCTTTTCGATTGTCCGTGTGCTTCAGATGGACCTTGCTTTCGTTAAACCCTCCTGTTCTTTTCTCTGTTGTGTTTGTTTGTGGTGGCGTGGACGTTTTGGTTGTGGATTTTTCCAACTGACAATCCCTGTCAACTGCTTCTACTCGTGTCTTGGCAATTTCTGGGTCATCGACTGCAAATTTCACTTTGTGCGTCAAATCGTCGCTCACAACCATTCTCTGCCTTCCGTGGCCCCTGTCCTTCTTCCTCAATCTCGCCTGCCCAGCTTGAGTCATTATGACCCCTTTCGATCGATCTCCCGGCTCAACTGCGCTCTTTGTCTTCCATCTGCGAATGTTGAATCGGCTCAGCAGGTGCCTTCTCTGCTTCTTCTCCTTTTGACCGGATGCCGCGGGACTGGGAGAAGGCCCTGTTACTTTCACAATTGTTGCACACTGCGGAGTTTCCAAGTTGCCTGTGAGTATCTCGAAACGGGTCACGGAGAGAAGCCTTCCTCTTCCAAGAGACTCATTCTCATCGGCCGGGTCCTCTCCACTTGCCCCCTTCGCCAGAGCGGAAGCGTACTCCTCGAGAGATGATGTCAGCGATATTCTGTCGAGTGAGGAACAGCTGGCACTTTTGATGGCCTTGATCGACTTGACAGTAAGCTGGTTTTTAGTGCCTTTGGATTGCTCTTTTCGGGGAATCATGGGCTCTTTGGGATACCTTCCTCGTGTTGGTGTTGATAATCTGTCTGTTGTACTGTCGACTGGATCATGTGACAGTGTTTCTTCGGTCAGAGTTGAAGAATCATCGACATAATAGAACTGAAGATACGATTTGTTCACGAGCACTGGAGAGTTGGAAAGAGTGAGAACTTTTAAGGCCTCGTCATCTGGCTCAGATGGACCCACCTCTCCTTTTGCTGTAGATGGTAAGCTTCTGGGAGAAGATTTATTATCAGAACTGGAGTGAGACGGAGACTGTAGATCGTCGGTGTTCAATCGTGATCCGTAGCCACTGTCCTTTGGACTACGTTTATCTTTTATCTTCTTGAACTGTGCTCCACGTCCACTCTCAGTAACTGTAGCTCCTGTGGTAGTCAACTTTCCATGACTAGACCACATCTCCTGACTTTCCCCACCGCAAAACTCACTTGGTACAAATCTACCACTAGTCTGTAGCGAACTGGGGAAGTCTGTGTCAATAAAGACACTGTCGTTAGATTGGATGGAACTCGAGAAGGATTCGTCGCGTGCGTGGAAGACAACACCCTTTGACTTTTGAGCGGCAGCTGTCGACAGGCAGAGTGGCTGCATGGATTGAGCAATTATTACAGAGTGAGATACATGGACGACAAGATAGTTCTTCCAACAAAGCAGGTGTCAACATGGTGTCATAATTATATGATGCAGTGCTTTCACAAGTCAATGCTAATTATCTTGGACAATATTAGTAAACCTACACTGCAGCAGAGACATCATGATAATGACCTAAAGTGAGTCCATTATAAAGAGTTACTGGTACAACTTTAATGTTGGGCATGTATGATATCAATTGGCAACATTCACAAAGGGAGTAGGAGGGATCATTAGCCCAGGAATGCATCATCGGATATGGTACATGATTAAGCTCAAAGACCAACGGAAACATTAATACACACGTAGACAGCTCTTCCAAGGCATTAACATTTCATAGAAAATGATCTTAGAGGAAATGTAACTATAACCACACAAAGATGATTGTCATCAGTACAGACAAATTAAGTACACAAGTGAGATAGCTGTGTACACTTCCTTCATTGTTTATCCGATGTTTATGGTACTGCTCTGCTGCATACTAGTAATTATACACAAAATATTGGCCTGAGGGTTATGTATCTTTGTACCACTCGGCTGTGTTTGGCATCAGCAATGACGAAATTCATTGATGGCCAAAAATAGCTCTCCCATTTCCAGCTAATGGCTAATCTGCAAATAGCTGTGCACATGCCACAATACCCCCTGAGCCAAGGAAACACCCTGCTAAAGTACTGAGAAGTATGCAAAGCATGTTTTTTACTTATGGCCCAGGGGGAAGAGTATTATACACGAAATGCAAAGTGGCTCTTGTCAAAGCATTCACAGGTGCAAACAGTGAGTTAAGGTGGTGCCAGGTCACCTACCGTTCACAACGTTTCAGACAGGAATTTCTAGGCTTTTAAAATGCACCACTTGTGTACGCAACCAAAACATTAGGTTGAAAGCCATGTTCTTGCTCTTGTTATGACTACTGTGGTTTACCTGCGAGTTTGGGCTGAGTTCATCTTGTTTCTGGTTTTGTTGTACGATGTCAACGGCAGCATTGGTTAGTTCACCGGTTTGAGTCACAATTGGAGAATCTTCATGTGTGTCTGTATCTGGACTAGTTTGTAATTGAATTTGGCAATTTAAGTGAAAGACATCTCCTTCCCCACTCTTTGATGCAGTCCCACTGTCCCTTTCCACCCTCCTTTCCTCTCCCACTCCCCCGCCGCACCCTTTTCTTTGCTGAATAGGCGTCTTTTGACCCGCTCTCTCATGATTGGCAGCCTCTTGTCGCGTGTGGGGGAGTCCTGTCTGTGCTATTTCCGAGCGTATTAGAGTGAGCGTTGCAGAGTTGCCAATCATGCCACTCATTTGGCTCTCGTCCCTCACTACTCCAGCTTCAGTTGAACCTGTAAGTAATATTATCACGACTAGACGCAATGTAGTTACGCATAATAGCTACCACTCGGCAGAACAAGAGAGACGTGCTATGAATGAGAACACGTAGGTAGTCATTCTGTCTGTGTTAAATGGAGCATATGCAGCCTAAGAAAGGTGTAAAAGGGAACTATGGGTGGTATTTTAACAACCAGGTGACAGCTATAGCAGCCTCTGAGACAGGCACTGTGTCAAAAGGGCACTACAATGTTACATCGGAAAGCAAAAGAGAAGGTCATGTTGTTCCAATGTTGCTTCAATACTGTACACTTTGCATGTGTTAGATTTCACTTCGATGCATATAGGATTACCGGCAACCCCACTGTGTGGGTTACAGCAGTGACTGAACTAACAGATGCACACTCCCACCCCACCCCTCAGTTCATGTGTCACATAACATTATTCATGAGCAGCTAAACTGGCTCAGATGTCTGTCTGAAACCGTATCATTCTTACTTCAAACTTAATGTAAGGTGAACAAGTGATGGGATACCACAAAAACGATTCTGTATATACCAGATATGTATAGCAAATACGAAATAGGAATTAGCCCTTTTAGAGCGATAGGCCAACTAATGCTTGGTAATGAGTGGCACCGACAGCTGTTCTGAAGCCAAAACACCTGGTCTTAAGTTAGTGCAAACGGTGCAAAGCATAAACGCAAACACTTTCTTGACAAACACCCTACTGCATAACACACACACATAATCTCTATGCAAACATACTGCATAAACGTGTTATATACAGTACTGACTCAGTTCGTGGAGGAGGTGAAGTAGTCAATTATTTAGAGGTAGTGCACAAGGCAAATATTTTGGCATGGGACCAAGTGCAAGATAAAATTCCACACCATCTCACTACTACAAATACTACTGCATGGGGGCTAATGGTAGGATATCGTGCTACATGCAAGCTGCTCAGCCCAATAGTGGCAGAAGATAAACTACATGAAGCACTTTACTTTTGCTTTCGCGTGGCCAAAGAGTAAAATATTTTCATGTTTACTCACCTATACCTTGCATACTATAGCTAATAAATATGCTTTTATGCAGCCCATTAGTCTAGCGACAGAGCCTCTTCTCTTTGGACAGGGTCTGGAGCTGACACTAAATATCCCTTACATCATCTCAAAATGTATGCTACTTGTTTGGCTATAACATACTTAAATTTTGTCCTTTCCCTGATCCCATCTGAGACTGATGTGTGTCTGTATGCCCATTAAACTGGCTGCGGGTTTCAGGAGCATACGACTTGAGTTCGTGGTGGAGAGTGGTGACTGCCATGTACAGACTGTCAGTCTCACTCATTGTGAGGCTTGGCGTGGACTGAGAGAGAAAGCCTGGCACCGACAGCATATTGTGAGTTGCAAATCAGTTGCAGGGAATATGAATCTGTAAAGTAAAGAGATTTCCTCTGGTAAGACAAATGCACATGGCTAAAATCGTATAGTGACACTGCAATTTTATGTCTCTATGACATGTGATGAACCATGTGCTGCATTCCACCTTTCTTTATCACACCATACCAGCCCCTTACATGTCTAAACAGTCACTACAATTATCTATGCATACCACCCATGGAGTTTGTGCTGCAAAGCGCCTGGGAGTAGCTCTATCATAACAGTTGGAACAGTAGTAGTCCCAACATGGAAGGGTGGTGGACAAAGCTCCCACACTGCATTTGCAACACATGGATCAGTAATAGCTACCTGTAATGGCGCATTAGTATATACGGACCTCGGAAACTTTACTGGCTAGTGCTATAGAGAGTGCGCAAAATTGCACGAACTTGCTTGCTGTTCCAGTCGAATGGAGATCCAGATGATCTTCGTTTAGACGCGATTTACTAGTAGCTAACTTTTGGCGAGGTTTTTACTAACTGCAGTGAATGTGCGCAGCGGCTTGTGCCACGGGAGCTCAGCAACTCTCGAAATGACACTGATGCGCCCACGCCCGTTTATTACGCGGTGGTGACGCTGCATTTATGCGCATGCGCTAACTGGGAGCGATGCAAACTACGCCTACCTCTGCGTGCGTGTTCTTGCTGCTGTGGCCATGACGAATGCCTTGGACCCTGAAGATATTCTCAAGACTCTTCACTGCCCTAAGAATTCCCAGGTAAATTCCACCTTATTCTGACGTTGACAAACTACTATTTAGCTACCGAAGCCCCCGCAATCCTTCCGCGTGGTTTATATTCCTGCAGTCGCTGCGAAGTACGCTTCAGAGCCACGGCGAGGAGGCCAATCAGTACACGCACTACGCAGATCCAAACTACGAATTTCGGACCCCGCTCCAGTCGATACTTCTGAATGCAAAGAAAGACGATCTGTTAGACATTCTGAGCGTTTTTCTGGTCTACACCAACGCCAAAGTCGACTATTATGTTGTCGGGAGCCCTCCTCTGCACATGGCCATAGTGGTTAGTTCATTCTCTGTCATCACTACAGAGTTGTAGTGCTGAATAGTGAGTCTGCATTGAGATCATTGTATGCCCATTTGTAGAGTTAGCTACATAATATATAGCATGTGGACAGTGCTTTGCCATAGCTCCATGTCCATAAGACAATAACATCATCACCGTGCTGTAATAAGGTATTTGTTCACAATGTCTCCCAGAATAATGACGTCATTGAAGTGATCAAGCTCCTCATTGCATTTGGGGCTGACATCAATCTCCCAAATGAGAATCAGAACAACGAGACACCTCTTGATGTGGCCAGACGCTGCAACCACCAGTCTGCACGCAGTCTTCTTTCCGACCTTCGAGCCTTCAGCAGCACAAGCGAAGCTTTCGTCCGCTACAGATTCGAGCGTCTCTCTTCTTTCCCCGAGGACAGTGAATTGCCTGAGAAATACAACGATGTCGATTTCAGTGCAGCTGGTGCAGAGTCTGTGGTTCCGCACGACATTCCAGATGTTTTCAAGGCACAATTTGAGCATTACAAGTCAGAGCTGACGCGCCATTCGATCAGTCGAGCTCATGTGGAAGATCCGGGGGCTTTAATGATGCAGCAGTTTGAGATCGACCGCTTTGAAAAGACGAGGGGCGAGCTCCCACCAGAGTTGCAGGGAATGGGTGGGAGTAGGATCCTGTTTCTTGACGGTGGGGGATTCGGGGGCTGGTGCTAATCGAAGTCCTCATGCAGTTGCAGCAGCTCACCGGAACATCTGTGGTAAAAATGTTTGACTGGATTGTAGGTACATCAACCGGCGGAATTCTGGCTCTGGCACTGGTTTACGGTAAGCTGTTGAATGATGGTGAATGATTTTATATGTTGGGCAGCTTACCTACTTTAGCTTCTCTGGGCGGTTATTCTCAAGTCCAAATGTGTAGCTGGACAAGGGTAGCTGTATGAGACTAAAGTGGTACTAAAATTTGTTAGCACATGTCTTGTAGATGTATGAAGGCAACAGCTATAGTCTGGTACAAAACTAAACCACGGATGCATACATACAATGGGTCTAGCCTAAATTCAACATTCTGTGAGTACAGTTGCCCTCAACTATATACAGCCAAGAAGTCATTAGAAGACGTCAGGCGCCTCTACTTCAAGCTGAAAGAGCAGCTGTTCCAGGGAAAGGGTCTGATATCACATTATCTGGGGTTCTGCGATAGCCAGAGGCTGGAGGAGTTACTGATTGAAACATTTGGCCGGGAAATGAAGATGACTGACCGCACCCACCCCAAGTGAGGTCATCACAGCCTATATACACCATTTACAACTGTTAGCGATTGTTATGCCGGTTGTATAATTAAACTTTTTCATGGTTTCGAAACAAATTGTGTTCCCAGGGTGCTGATTTCAACTGTGGATAAGAGAAAGAATCCCACAAAGCTGCGGTTCTTCAACAACTGCTTTTTTAGCAATGACAATTTCGATCACCGTAAGTCAAACGTAGCACAAAGGCAATATCACTCTCTTGCCTTGATAAGTGACACACAAGTTTCAGCTGATGCTATTATTATATATACAGCTGCTGATGACACTCCTGTATGGAAGGTAGCCCGCTACACCTCGGCAGCTCCGACATACTTCACAGAGTGTGATGAGTATGTCGACGGGGGGCCTCATGGCTAACAATCCCAGCTACGAAGGACTGAAAGTCATTCGTGATTTTTACCCCAATCTTCACGTTGCGCTTGTCGTCTCCATCGGCACGGGAAAGTTTGAAGAGCAGGAGATAAAGGAGGCAGACATCATTACCTGCGTGAATGCATTCAGGATCATAGAAGCTGTATCCGGCTTTAAAAAACTGTTTGAATCGACACTCCAGGTTTGTGTATAGTACAGCTGTAATAGTGCGGTTCAATATGAATGAGTAGGCCTAACAATACTGGTTTCTTTATACCACAACACTTTGATACCCCGCTCAGGCAATAGCAACTGACAGTCCAAATGAAGCCACAGGTTTTACATGCCGTCAGCTGCACATCCCCTACTTCCGTTTCAACCCGAGTCTTGCTGAGAAGATTGACCTGAAAGAGGTGAAGACCGAGAAACTCGTGAGGCTCATTCTCGATACCAAGTGCTACTGCAACGAAATGGGAGTGAGGGATGAGCTGGGTCATGTTGTTCAACTGCTGCATGCTGCTGTGAAGGCCAACCAGTCTCAGGTCATGTATCGGGCAAGTGTCGGCAGTGCAGGCAGTGCAAGTGGTTGTGAGAAATGACATCACTTTGATCGTTTAATCACTAGTCATCTTAAAAAATAAGCGTGACCCAATAGTATTTTATAGCTGCATGCACATGATTACAACTCAACTTTAATGAAATCATCTGAAAGTATTAAAAGTACCGCATAGACAAAAGTACTATTAATGAGTCTCCTCAGTGGTGCTAGCTTATAGTTTAAAGTCTAGTTGCAGGCCTCGATACCAACTCCCTGTGTACCAATGCACACATATGGATCTCCATTGGGGTTCACAGCTCCAGAGGCCAGAATAGTCACAAGTTCGTCGAAAGCGACAAAGAACTCATTAAAGGTGTCGAAGTTGAAGAGGTGGTACTCACCGGGATCAGCATCAGTGATGCAGTCTAGCTCAGACTGCACCGCATCTCCGACGCCTATGGCATATGTGGTCACCCCAAACCGATTGTGGAGGCAGCGGATGTCATCACAGACGTTGCGATTCGGGTCGTTGGATTGTCCGTCAGTGAGGTAAACAACATCGATGCAGTTGGCAGTTGGGTCAAGGCCACACGTCTGCGTGAGCATAAAGTCACAGACACATTGTGTAGCACCGCCGGTGTGAGTGTAACGGGTGCCCGCGCGGTTGAAGCCATAATCAATGTTAGCCATTGCAGCACTAGCTCCTACGCGGCCAAGACATGTGTTGTCGTAGCAGTTGAAGCAGAATTCGACATAGTACTCGTGGTCAAAGGTCATCACAGCAACTTTGATTGGGTTGCAGAAGAACGCAAGGAGGCCACTCAGAGTTGAAGTGACGTTGTTGAATGTGGATTCTGCGATGCTGCCGGACGTGTCCAAAACAAAGAGGATGTGCTGCATGCCGTTGGGTAGACAGGTGGTCTGGCGCCGATAGCGGGCTCCATGCTCTGCGATGTTGAATGGAGTAGGGTCCACAGCAAGTGGCGCTGGAGATGCCGAGCGGCGCAGTTTTCTGAAGTTTGGTCGCCTCTTCTCCTCCAAAACTGAGCGTTTTCCTGCAGAAAGAAGATGAGTATATGAAACATGCCACGTTTGTCTGTGAGGTACAGCGTCACCGCCATGTAATGAAAGGCACTAAAGTGCAAATCCTCGGCGACATGCGCATGCGCGGTACCGCTAATTGATGGGTTGGGCTATAATAGTATGCGTTTACTCGCGGTCTCCCGCTAGTAGCTCGCGGAGAGTCTGACACGGGCTATCTACGGTAGTAGATAGGATGCGGGAGTCGATACACGTCGTTTGTTGCGACTTATTGTGCCTTCAACATCCACAGAACAAGCGGACCCGGTCGAGGTAAGCCTCTGCTAATTGGCTTGTTCACTTGGTTTTCACGCCACAACTTCTGAGCGCGGCACTTTTACGAAAATCGCTATTTTTAAAATGAAGCCTGTATAGCGCTGAACCCGTTGGTGTCGCTATTTTACCTGTTTGTTGCGCGTGGTGGCAGAAAATGACAAACCAAAGTACTGTAACACTCGCTGCGCATGCGCACCGAGGGTTAATAATGCGCAAACCCTCGGCGAACTGCGCATGCGCGATAATGCTAATTGATGGGCTGGGCTATTGTATCTATGCGTTTGCTCGTGGTCTCCCGCTAGTAGCTCGCGGAGAGTCTGACACGGACTGGCTACAGCAGTAGATAGCATGCGGGAGTCGATACATGCCATTCGTTGTGACTACCTGAGACGAAAAGCTAAATTTCCTGTACAGTTCAGTTTACACCTTTCCTGCACTTTTCTCGAGGAACATCATGTTTCCTGAGAAAGGACAGGGCGTATTTTACTATACTCTTTCCGGCACTTTTCCAGCACTTTTCCAGGACAGGTGCAGTAAAGTGTACAGGAAATTGCGCCCTGTACTGTTTTGTAGGAAATTTTCCTTCCAGTAAGGTACACAGAACGAGCAGATCAGGTCGCGGTAAGCCCAGTTCCCATTGGCTTTTTCGCTTGTTTTCACGGTATATCTCTCGATCAGGAAAATCGCCCTTTTAGTTTTCAGGCTCGCGTTGTTCTGAAGCCGCTGGTATCGCTAATAGGTCGCCTCGTAGCCTGTATAGTGACAGAATAAGCGTCGACACACAGACACGCAGACAGACAAACCAACTACTGTAACCCTCGCTGCGCATGCGCGCTGAGGGTTAACTACAGCAATGCTTACCATGTGGAGTGGTGACATGTGACAGATTTGGCCAACATCACAGCTTGAGCGCTTTTCCCTGTTGAGAGTGGTGGAGTCAGTGATTGTCTGGTTGACGATGAAAATGAATGGTCTCAGTTTTGAGATCGTGATCTGCTGACCACTACTGCCTAGTCCAAGACCAAGTATTATTTGATCAATTAGCTCAGGTTCACCTGCAAGAGGGAAAAAATTAATTCTCGGTTCGTTTTTCATAAGTCATCTAACGTACAAACAGTTCTTTCTTCAGATCTGGCGGCACAGCTTGTTCCACTGAGGTCGACCTGCACCCGCTGTTCTGTTAGCGCCCTTCCGCTGGGGCATTGGGAGGTCGGGACGATGCTTGAACTGACTGGTTCCCATCCGCTCCACTGGCTGTAGGAGCACTGGCAGTGGGAGAAGAGGTGCTGAAACTGCGGGAAGAGGCGCAGTTGACTATTACACGGCAGCTGGCACGAGGCCGCTGAGATCAGTGCGAGGACAAATGTTGCTGAGATTGCGAAGTTATCCATGATATCTCCCTGATTTTTGAGTGATGGCTACTAGCGTATCTGCGCCTGCTTTTATAGGTCGCTGGCTACTTTCGCTGCTTCATCAACAGGAGTCTAACACCCACATAATGTGTGGGCAGTGGTAAATAGATACTGCTGTGCTTTCTTATTCGGTGTAGCTAGTAGGGTAGCTATACCTACGTAATTCCTCGTATGAAACTTGACGTTATTCGACACCACCGCCGGCGCGTACAGTGAGTAAGCTGTTTCGTAGCAACTGTAGCCCCACTGGCGACTAAAGGAAAAAATGTGCATCCGCCATGCAGTGCTACGCGTTCCTTCAGGGGTTGCGTCTTCCCATTGAAGCTAAAGTGACTTCACAGACACCCGCCCAGAAAATTTCCCTGAAGCTCATGTGGTCGTTATGTTTGCTTTTATAGGTCGCTGGCTACTTTCGCTGCTTCATCAACAGGAGTCTAACACCCACATAATGTGTGGGCAGTGGTAAATAGATACTGCTGTGCTTTCTTACTCTGTGTAGCTAGTAGGGTAGCTATACCTACGTAATTCCTCGTATGAAACTTGACGTTATTCGACACCACCGCCGGCGCGTACAGTGAGTAAGCTGTTTCGTAGCAACTGTAGCCCCACTGGCGACTAAAGGAAAAAATGTGCATCCGCCATGCAGTGCTACGCGTTCCTTCAGGGGTTGCGTCTTCCCATTGAAGCTAAAGTGACTTCACAGACACCCGCCCAGAAAATTTCCCTGAAGCTCATGTGGTCGTTATGTTTGCTTTTATAGGTCGCTGGCTACTTTCGCTGCTTCATCAACAGGAGTCTAACACCCACATAATGTGTGGGCAGTGGTAAATAGATACTGCTGTGCTTTCTTACTCTGTGTAGCTAGTAGGGTAGCTATACCTACGTAATTCCTCGTATGAAACTTGACGTTATTCGACACCACCGCCGGCGCGTACAGTGAGTAAGCTGTTTCGTAGCAACTGTAGCCCCACTGGCGACTAAAGGAAGAAAAATTGCATCCGCCATGCAGTGCTACGCGTTCCTTCGGCGTTACCCAGCACGAACCAACGCATACGCATAACCCTCGGCGGCGCGCATGCGACAGGAGTACTACTGTCCGTCTGTCCGTCTGTTACCACGATTTCTGCCACCACGCGCAACAAACAAACAGGTAAAATAGCGACACCAGCGGGTTCAGCGCTACACTGGCTTTATTTTATAATAAGCGATTTTCGTAAAAGTGCCGCGTTCAGAAGTTATGGCGTGAAAACCAAGTGAACAAGCCAATATGCTAATTAGCACTGGCTTACCCCGACCTGATCCGCAACTTCATGGGGCGCGATAACTTTCTTCGGGTGCGATAACTCTCAGGGTGCGCGATAACTTTCTTCGGGTGCGATAACTCTCAGGGGGCGCGATAACTTTCTTCGGGCGCGATAACTCTCAGGGTGCGCGATAACTTTCTTCGGGTGCGATAACTCTCAGGGGGCGTGATAACTTTCTTCGGGCGCGATAACTCTCAGGGGGCGCGATAACTTTCTTCGGGCGCGATATCGAGAAGTTCTCCAAGTTGAGTGGAAGAAGATACAAGGGACGTCAGAAAAAAGTCCAAATCTGCTATATCTTCGTTTCCAGCGCACTCAATACACCGCGAAACGACAGACAGATGAAACATGGTCAACTACTGCAGAAAACTCTGCCATACTATAATATTATACCTACCAGACACGAAAGCGTTTCTCTACGGTTACACGCTGGTCCCCAACACCACCACACCCACTTTCTCCGTCCTCCCTTCCCAGAGAGTTATCGCGCCCCCTGAGAGTTATCGCGCCCGCAGAAAGTTATCGCGCCCCCGGAGAATTATCGCAGTTGCGTTTATCGCCCGACAAACACTTTATCGCCCGGCTGAAAGGTTATCGAATTTTGAAACAAATAGCATTCCATAATCTACTACTGTAGCTAGCCCGTGTCACACTCTTCGCGAGCTACTAGCGGGAGATCACGAGTAAATAGGCCCAGCCAATCAATTAGCGGTACCGCGCATGCCCAGTTCGCCGAGGGTTTGCACTTCAGTGCTTTTCATTTTCGCTGTCTCACGGAGCGGCATCGGGGCGGCACGTTGGAAGCCGGAAACTGAAAATCCCACGCGAATACCCGCGTGTGCATTAGCAGTAGGCATGCGCAAAGGTTATTGCGTAAGCGGAGGGTAGGTGCTGTAGGGACGGCTGAGGCCATCTGTAGGAACACATAAGCCAATCAACGGCCATCGGACTTTCCCACTGCTGTGCGCATGCCTGTTATAATCACCCCTCTATTTTGTGTGTCTAAGAGAAGTCAGCCAGCGATGTGCTAGTAGCTATATATATAGCCCGTAGGTCCACATGAACGCGCGTCAGCCGAGTTAGCAGGCGCTTGTGATAATTACTGCTTGCCCCTGGCAGGGTAATGCCCAAGGTTTTTCAAGTTTGTGACAGTCGGTAAGTGCATGCGTGTGGGGAACGTATAGCTAGAGTGCCTGAGTTAGCACTGACGAGTTACATATTGCAATTGCAGAGCTCATCTTTTCAATGATACAAAATTTCAAAATTATACAGAGCACAGTTTTAAACATCAGCGTCAATGACAGCCATCGGTGCCCAATCCGCGGGTACCGATACAGACGTATGGATCCCCGGACGGATTCACACCGCCAGTGAGTAGCCTGTATATAATATCCTCGAACGTCTTGCACGAATTCATCAAAACTGTTGAAGTTGAAAATATTGAAGGTATTTGGATCTGCGTTGCTGATGCACTCTAGCTCAGGATCAAATGCATTTGCAACTCCAATTGCGTGCGTAGTGACTCCGTACCGGTCGTGAAGGCTCCCAATCGTGTTGCAGACGTTAATATTTGGATCGTTGGACCGTCCCACTGTTATAAACACAACATCGATACACTCCGCACCGACTGGTACCCCGCACGACGGGGTTAGCATGAAATCGCAGACGCATCGTGCAGCATCGTGCTTTGCCATAGATCCATGTCCATAAGACAATAACATCATCACCGTGCTGTAATAAGGTATTTGTTCACAATGTCTCCCAGAATAATGACGTCATTGAAGTGATCAAGCTCCTCATTGCATTTGGGGCTGACATCAATCTCCCAAATGAGAATCAGAACAACGAGACACCTCTTGATGTGGCCAGACGCTGCAACCACCAGTCTGCACGCAGTCTTCTTTCCGACCTTCGAGCCTTCAGCAGCACAAGCGAAGCTTTCGTCCGCTACAGATTCGAGCGTCTCTCTTCTTTCCCCGAGGACAGTGAATTGCCTGAGAAATACGACAATGTCGATTTCAGTGCAGCTGGTGCAGAGTCTGTGGTTCCGCACGACATTCCAGATGTTTTCAAGGCACAATTTGAGCATTACAAGTCAGAGCTGACGCGCCATTCGATCAGTCGAGCTCATGTGGAAGATCCGGGGGCTTTAATGATGCAGCAGTTTGAGATCGACCGCTTTGAAAAGACGAGGGGCGAGCTCCCACCAGAGTTGCAGGGAAAGGGTGGGAGTAGGATCCTGTTTCTTGACGGTGGGGGGATTCGGGGGCTGGTGCTAATCGAAGTCCTCATGAAGTTGCAGCAGCTCACCGGAACATCTGTGGTAAAAATGTTTGACTGGATTGTAGGTACATCAACCGGCGGAATTCTGGCTCTGGCACTGGTTTACGGTAAGCTGTTGAATGATGGTGAATGATTATATATGTTGGGCAGCTTACCTACTTTAGCTTCTCTGGGCGGTTATTCTCAAGTCCAAATGTGTAGCTGGACAAGGGTAGCTGTATGAGACTAAAGTGGTACTAAAATTTGTTAGCACATGTCTTGTAGATGTATCAAGGCAACAGCTATAGTCTGGTACAAAACTAAACCACGGATGCATACATACAATGGGTCTAGCCTAAATTCAACATTCTGTGAGTACAGTTGCCCTCAACTATATACAGCCAAGAAGTCATTAGAAGACGTCAGGCGCCTCTACTTCAAGCTGAAAGAGCAGGTGTTCCAGGGAAAGGGTCTGATATCACATTATCTGGGGTTCTGCGATAGCCAGAGGCTGGAGGAGTTACTGATTGAAACATTTGGCCGGGAAATGAAGATGACTGACCGCACCCACCCCAAGTGAGGTCATCACAGCCTATATACACCATTTACAACTGTTAGCGATTGTTATGCCGGTTGTATAATTAAACTTTTTCATGGTTTCGAAACAAATTGTGTTCCCAGGGTGCTGATTTCAACTGTGGATAAGAGAAAGAATCCCACAAAGCTGCGGTTCTTCAACAACTGCTTTTTTAGCAATGACAATTTCGATCACCGTAAGTCAAACGTAGCACAAAGGCAATATCACTCTCTTGCCTTGATAAGTGACACACAAGTTTCAGCTGATGCTATTATTATATATACAGCTGCTGATGACACTCCTGTATGGAAGGTAGCCCGCTACACCTCGGCAGCTCCGACATACTTCACAGAGTGTGATGAGTATGTCGACGGGGGCCTCATGGCTAACAATCCCAGCTACGAAGGACTGAAAGTCATTCGTGATTTTTACCCCAATCTTCACGTTGCGCTTGTCGTCTCCATCGGCACGGGAAAGTTTGAAGAGCAGGAGATAAAGGAGGCAGACATCATTACCTGCGTGAATGCATTCAGGATCATAGAAGCTGTATCCGGCTTTAAAAAACTGTTTGAATCGACACTCCAGGTTTGTGTATAGTACAGCTGTAATAGTGCGGTTCAATATGAATGAGTAGGCCTAACAATACTGGTTTCTTTATACCACAACACTTTGATACCCCGCTCAGGCAATAGCAACTGACAGTCCAAATGAAGCCACAGGTTTTACATGCCGTCAGCTGCACATCCCCTACTTCCGTTTCAACCCGAGTCTTGCTGAGAAGATTGACCTGAACGAGGTGAAGACCGAGAAACTCGTGAGGCTCATTCTCGATACCAAGTGCTACTGCAACGAAATGGGAGTGAGGGATGAGCTGGGTCATGTTGTTCAACTGCTGCATGCTGCTGTGAAGGCCAACCAGTCTCAGGTCATGTATCGGGCAAGTGTCGGCAGTGCAGGCAGTGCAAGTGGTTGTGAGAAATGACATCACTTTGATCGTTTAATCACTAGTCATCTTAAAAAATAAGCGTGACCCAATAGTATTTTATAGCTGCATGCACATGATTACAACTCAACTTTAATGAAATCATCTGAAAGTATTAAAAGTACCGCATAGACAAAAGTACTATTAATGAGTCTCCTCAGTGGTGCTAGCTTATAGTTTAAAGTCTAGTTGCAGGCCTCGATACCAACTCCCTGTGTACCAATGCACACATATGGATCTCCATTGGGGTTCACAGCTCCAGAGGCCAGAATAGTCACAAGTTCGTCGAAAGCGACAAAGAACTCATCAAAGGTGTCGAAGTTGAAGAGGTGGTACTCACCGGGATCAGCATCAGTGATGCAGTCTAGCTCAGACTGCACCGCATTTCGATGCCTATGGCATACGTGGTCACCCCAAACCGATTGTGGAGGCAGCGGATGTCATCACAGACGTTGCGATTCGGGTCGTTGGATTGTCCGTCAGTGAGGTAAACAACATCGATGCAGTTGGCAGTTGGGTCAAGGCCACACGTCTGCGTGAGCATAAAGTCACAGACACATTGTGTAGCACCGCCGGTGTGAGTGTAACGGGTGCCCGCGCGGTTGAAGCCATAATCAATGTTAGCCATTGCAGCACTAGCTCCTATGCGGCCAAGACACGTGTTGTCGTAGCAGTTGAAGCAGAATTCGACATAGTACTCGTGGTCAAAGGTCATCACAGCAACTTTGATTGGGTTGCAGAAGAACGCAAGGAGGCCACTCAGAGTTGAAGTGACGTGGTTGAATGTGGATTCTGCGATGCTGCCGGACGTGTCCAAAACAAAGAGGATGTGCTGCATGCCGTTGGGTAGACAGGTGGTCTGGCGCCGATAGCGGGCTCCATGCTCGGCGATGTTGAATGGAATAGGGTCCACAGCAAGTGGCGCTGGAGATGCCGAGCGGCGCCCCGTTTTCTGAGGGCTGTTGGTCGCGCCTCTTCGTCTTTTCTCCTTACAAACTGAGCGTTTCCTGCAGAACACGAAGATGAGTATATGAACATGCCACATTGTGCTGTGAGGTATATACAGCCATCACAATGTAATACACCAGGCAATGCTACATGGTGGAGTGGTGACATGTTGACAGATTTGGCCAACCTCACAGTTTGAGCGCTTTCCCCTGTTGAGAGTGGTGGAGTCAATGACTGTCTGGTTGATGATGAGAGCGGATGGTCTCTGTTTTGAGATCGTGATCTGCTGACCACTACTGCCTAGTCCAAGACCAAGTATTATTTGATCAATCAGCTCAGGTTCACCTGCAAGAGGGGAAAAAGTAATTCTTCGTTCTTTTTTCGTAAGTCATCTAACGTACAAACAGTTCTTTCTTCAGATCTGGCGGCGCAGCTTGTTCCACTGATGTCGACCTGCACCCGCTGTTCTGTTAGCGCCCTTCCGCTGAGGCATTGGGAGGTCGGGACGATGCTTGAACTGACTGGTTCCCAATCGCTCCACTGGCTATAGGAGCACTGGCAGTGGGAGAAGAGGTGCTGAAACTGCGGGAAGAGGCGCAGTTGACTATTGCACGGCAGCTGGCACGAGGCCGCTGAGATCAGTGCGAGGACGAATGTTGCTGAGATTGCGAAGTTATCCATGATTTCTCCCTGATGGCTACTAGCGTATCTGCGCCTGCTTTTATAGGTCGCTGGCTATTTTCGCTGCTTTATCAACAGGAGTCTAACACCCACATAATGTGTGGGCAGTGGTAACTAGATACTGCTGTGCTTTCTTACTCTGTGTAGCTAGTATACGTAATTCCGAAACTTGACGTTATCGACACCACCGCCGGCGCGTATTGAGGCTGTTTCGTAGCAACTGCAGCCCCACTGGCGATTAAATGAAAAAAATGTGCATCCGCCATGCAGCGCTACGCGTTCCTTCGGGGGTTGCGTCCTCCCTTTGAAGCTAAAGTGACTTGGCTGACACCCGCCCAGAAAGTTTCCCTGAAGCTCTTGTGGTCGTTGATTTCATTTGTTTGTACAGTCTGCTAAAGTGCTTTGCTTGCACATCCGCCTCACAGGGATGCTCGTATACTACAACTGCCCTATTTGTCTCGTCCAACATTCTACATGAAGCTTGCAGCTTTACCCACCAACGAACCAACGCACTGCGTAGTTTCACGGTCTCATGGAGCGGCATCGGGGCGGCACGTTATAAGCCGGAAACTGAAAATCCCACGACCCGCGTGTGCATTATGCAGTATATAGGCATGCGCAAAGGTTATTACGTAAGCGGAGGGTAGGTGCTGTAGGGACGGCTGAGACCATCTGTAGGAACACATAAGCGAATCAACGGCTATCGGACTTTCCCACTGCTGTGCGCATGCCTGTTATAATCACCCCTCTATTTTTCGTGTATAGCCAGCGATGTGCTATAGTAGCTATATACGTATATATATATATATAGCCCGTAGGTCCACATTGGATGCGTATGAGCGCGCGTCAGCCGAGTTAGCAGGCGCCTGTGATAATTACTGCTTGAAACTGGCAGGGTAATGCCCAAGGTTTTTGCAAGTTTGTGACTGTCGGTAAGTGCATGCGTGTGGGGAGCGTATAGCTAGAGTGCCTGAGTTAGCACTGACGAGTTACATAGAGTTTGTATTGCAATTGCAGAGCTCAAATGCATCTTTTCAATGATACAAAATTGCAAAATTATGCAGAGCACAGATTTAAACGTCAGCGTCAATGACAGCCATCGGTGCCCAATCCGCGGGTACCGATACAGACGTATGGATCCCCCGACGGACTCACACCGCCATGGAGTAGCCTGTTCATAATGTCCTCGAACGTCTGCTCGAATTCATCAAAACTGTTGAAGTTGAAAATATTGAAGGTATTTGGATCTGCGTTGCTGATGCACTCTAGCTCAGGATCAAATGCATTTGCAACTCCAATTGCGTGCGTAGTGACTCCGTACCGGTCGTGAAGGCACCCAATCGTGTTGCAGACGTTAATATTTGGATCGTTGGACCGTCCCACTGTTATAAACACAACATCGATACACTCCGCACCGACTGGTACCCCGCACGACGGGGTTAGCATGAAATCGCAGACGCATCGTGCAGCACCGGCTGTGTGTCTCCAACGAATCCCGGAGCGACCGTATCCGTAGTCGATATTGGTGATAGCGTCTCCGGTCATCTGACGTCCACTGCACGTGCTGTCGAAGCAATCAAAGCAGAATTCAACGAAATACTCTTGGTCGAAAGTCATCACGGCCACTTTGATAGGGCTGCAGAAAAAGAGAACTAAATCCCCAAGAACGGCGGTCAGCCTATTGAAATTTTCTCTTCCGCTGTTGCTCGACGTGTCCAGTACAAACAGTACATACTGGCTACTTGTTGGCGAGCACTGGCTCTGTCGTCTGTAGCGAGGTCCATGCTCAGTGATATTGAACGGCGTCGGCTTGGAAGGAAGTGGTTCGGGATCGACTGTCGCACGAGGATGGCGGTCGTCTACGAACGGCTGTAGTATTTCCAGCCTATCTAGAAATCGCTTACCTGTATAGAGGGGTAAAATATTCAATTCTGTTGCTGTAGAAGTATTATAGTTCAACATACTGTGAGGGACGGTGACGTGTTGGCAAACTCTTTGCGCAGTGCCGCCGCAACTGCGGAAAACCTCGGGAAGAGGCTGGATGGGACTGAAGTTAGGGCCATCTCCAACCGCAGTAATGGGTCCGGGGTGACTCAAGGAGGGTTGACGTCTCCTTTTTCGGGTGATCCCTTGTCCTGAACTGCCAAGCCCGAGTGCGAGTATGATACGATCTACAATTTCGGGTTCACCTGTGCACGATAATGAGAGGAATGCAAGCACCCCATTATAGTTTCACTAACATCTTGTCCTGTTTTGCATTGCTGGTTTGCAGCTGCCGTCAAGTACAATCTTCTCTCTCTGTTCAGTAACAACAGAACCACTGGGGCACTGGGAAGGAGGCACCGCTTTGGTGCCGATTGTTTTCCATTCGCTCCACGGCACGTACTGGCACCCAGGTGCGAACCTCGGAGGGACCCGTTGTTGGCAAGTGCAGGGTAGCAGTTGTGTCGCAACCAGTGCCACCACGAATACGGCTAAGGGGTTCATTGTAGCTGTAGGCTGAGATAATGGGTCGGTAGCTATAGGTCTTTACTTACACGTACATCTCGCAGGTGGTCGTCGCTGCACTTGTCTGTCTACGCACGCGGATGCACTTTCTGTGTTATGCGGTAGGCATGGCAGCCCTTGCTCCATTCAGTCTACCAACTGTGGTCCGTTGCTCATTTAGTGTTTCCGCTGTTTGGTCAACCCGAGCATTAGCGGTCCCGGCGTTGCTATGGGTAGCAATTAGACATGGCGTCCTTTTTATTAAACCTATAGCGGATACTCTTTATGATTGTCGTGTATTGCACCGACGTATATACTAGTATCTACCCGTATAGATGAACACCAAATCGGGGATTTTGTTCGTATTTTCTTACTGGCTACCGCGGTCTAAGACCGTCCTACTCAACGTGATTTGTCTACCTGCCCTTTTTCCACGCTCAAGCCAGTGCTGAAGCTAATATAACCCTCGGCGCGCATGCGCAGCGAGGACGTAAGTGTGTCAGTCCGTCTGTCTGTCTGTTACACAATGTTTTCTGCGACTACGCGCGACTAGGCGCGACTACGCGCAACGAGACAACATACCAACGGGTTCATCGCTAAACTGGGTTCAATTTGTAAAAGGGCGATTTTCGTAAAACTATAATAATTATACTGCGTTCAAATGTTATGGCGTGAAAAGCAAGTGAACAAGCCAATATGCAAATTAGCACAGGCTTACTTCGACCGGGTCCGCTTGCTCTTTGCATCTTGAAGGCAGAAGAAGTCACAACGAAGGTCGTGTATCGACTCCCGCATGCTATCTACTACTGTAGCTATAGTCCGTGTCAGACTCTCAGAGAGCTATAGCGGGAGACCACGAGTTAACGCATACGCATCCACAGTTCGCCGAGGTTTGCACTTCAGTGCTTTTCATTTATGATGCACTTGACATAATATTCTATAGCTTTGCTATATTGTATATATCCCCAACTCGTTTTCGTTAGCGCATGAAGGGTGCTTCCCCTGCAGGACGTGTGTACCCCGCTAAGAGCACAAAATAATACAACCTGTGTATATTTTCGTGACAGCATTATGCAAGGTTTTACAAAACAATTATAGGTTAGTTTTTGTTCCACACATTGCTTGGATGCTAATGGCAGCCAGCAGTGCCAACACCCCCTGTGCCGATGCAGACGTATGGATCTCCTGTCGTCGGACTTACTTGTCCCATCAGTAGCGTATCAACCAGCTCTTGAAAGGTATCCTCGAATTCATCGAAATCCAAAAAGTTAAACAGATGGAAGGAGTTTGGATCTGCGTTACTAATGCATTCAAGCTCTGGATCGTAAGCGTTTCCGATTCCGATTGCATACGTTGTGACGCCGTAACGGTTGTGGAGGCACGCAATCTCATTGCAGACGTTCAGATTTGGATCGTTGGATCTTCCGTCGGTGATGAAAACAACGTCGATGCAGTCCGAGGCAACAGGAACACCACAAGTTTGAGTAAGCATGAAGTCGCAGACGCACCGCGCGGCTCCGGCTGTGTGGGTCCAGCGAGTCCCAGAACGACCGTATCTGTAGTCGATGGTTTTGATAGCGTCCCGAGCATCGACTCGTCCTCCGCATGTGTTGTCGAAGCAGTCGAAACAGAACTCAACGAAGTACTCGTGGTCGAACGTCATCACTGCCACTTTTATCGGACTACAGAAGAAAGAGAACCAGCTCGCTGAGGACGGCGGTCACTCTATTGAAGTCGTTAAGTTTGACGCTCCCTGAACTGTCCAACACGAAGAGAATGTACTGAGTACTGGTTGCTCCACAACGTGTCTGGCGCCTGTAGCGATGTCCATGCTCCTTAACGTTGAACTTTGTTGGCTTGAAAGGGAGGGGCTCAGGCTCCACGGTTGCGCGCCGTTGCCTATTGATTGGTCGCTTCAATTCCTCCCGCACAGAACGTTTACCTGCACAACATATAGCTAAGATTATGGAGCTGCGAGTATTTATTTTACTTACCGTGAGGGACGGTGACGTGTTGACACACTTTGCGCGTGTCGTCGCATTGGGTGGTCAACGCGAGAGGTTCGTAAACGAGAGGTTGGGGGACACCGGGACTACCGGGACTGCCAGGACGGACGCTTAAGCTGTTTGATGGTTGACCTAGCCTGAACGATGGATTGATCAATCCTGGTGCGCCTGGAGTAACCATTTGTCCCATGCTGCCTAGCCCAAGCGCCATGATAATCTGATCCACCAAATTAGGCTCGCCTGTATGGAATAATGAGATCATAATACACAATACATCGAGTTGCAAAAATCCTTACATATAGTCCTCGTCTCCTTTTTTTCGTCGCACATTCCGGAAAGTACACTCTGCACCCTTTCTTCTGTTATCACATGTCCACTCTCACATTGTGAGTTGGGTACCGGTGTAGAGCTGCCGCTGACTACTTTCCATTCGCTCCACTGGCTATAGGAGCACTCGCAGTGGGAGAAGAGGTTTTCAAAAGCAGGCAAAAGTCGCAGTTGACTATTGCACGGCAGCTGGCACGAGGCCGCTGCGATCAGTGCGAAGCCGATTGCTGCGAGAAGATGCATGTCAAAGTATCGGGCTGTTTTCTTCCGTGCTACTGCACGTCTGTTCCGCACCAACTTTTATACACTCTCACCGGGATCGCCATTTTGTGCCACAGCCCTGCAGCCCTGACCGTGGTTTATCTCGTCCGGCCAGACGACGCTCACTCCGCGACCACTGCTCATTAAACTCTATTATGGAAAAAGGCTTCGGTAGAGATAAGAATTCAAGTTGGTACAGTCAAAGGATGTGTGGGTGATATGTGGGTGGCCCTGAGCGACGCTACTGATCTACGTACGTATGTGGTCTACGTCCGGTTTAGTTGAGAGGCGTTGAGTAGGAAAGAGGAAGTTGCTACACATGGTCGAAACAAGATCCCTAGAAGATCCCTAGCAGATCCGTATCAGAACGTCAGGGCTACCCACACACGCAACATTACATGAGGCATGGAATATGCCTCTTTCACCTCCACCATATATGAGCAGACATTTAGATACCAAATGAGCATGTTGGTGATGTCTCTCATGTAGCATTACCTATAGCTAGCTGTCCATTGTGCCATGTGCAAGACCATGTTAGCTATTGGTGCTGCCGCTCGGTCATTTACATTCTCAGGCAGGAGATACCTGACTAAGTATTATATATCTGGGACTTAGGCAAAAAAATTTGCCATCAGCAAGTGAATGATCAAACTTGCCTCAAGAGTGGCAAAACAACCAGAATCTAGTCGAAGTTAAGACATGGCTCATTTGTATCATAAAGACTAACTTTTAGCATTAGTTTTATGCCTGTTGTAGCGTAGTCTTGAATTCGTTACAATATTCGCTTACGTATATTATATGTGGGCTTCTTGCCTGTGGTGGCAGAAACCTAGAAACCCCTCACCTATCCCTCAAATGTGGTACCTAACTTCTAACTAATGTGTAAACGGTCCAGGGTTGCATTAATTTTGTTGGCCCTTTGGAAGTCGTTTTTCAAAATAAGTCGTGTTTATTTTTTCTCCCGTTTGGAATTTTTTTTTGTATTCCAGATTTCCCTGTAAATGTTTTCATGAACTCTGATGTATGTAACTTCTAAGGAGGAATGATTGTCATGCTCTCCCCCACTGCAGTCAACCTCTGGTACAAGAGGCCGAGGTGAGACTCATTGAAATGGTCCACCAGATGCTGTCTGACGGAAACCTCAAGTTTGCGCAGCTACTCCGTAATGCCCTAGTCACCAAGGTCGGTAGACACACGTACACAAACACACGCACACACACACTCACAATAGGCCGTCGTACACTATATAGACAACTTGTAGTGACAAAATGGCCAGAAATTAAAACAGCTTCTAATTGTACCGTAGCAACATGTTGCAACGAAACCTACATGGGTTCCACATGTGATGTCCCTCCACTTAGGGCCCACCAGGAGCAGACGGAGCCCCTGGCTTTACTGGTGCACCTGGAGATGCTGTGAGACACCCACACATCACTTTGAACTGCCAACTCCCCTCATCACTAACCGTGGCTGCGCTTGTGCGCCGACAGTTGTATACTACCCTTCAGTGCTATCCTCGTATATGGGTTAGCCTAGCTCCTGCACGCCGTTTTTCCTGCCACACAAAAAACGCGATCGCCGAAGCGAAAGTGATGCTACGTAACAACACTTGGTGGCGGGAAGATCCTCACGAGCCAAGCCCCACGAAGAATGCATAATTAGCCGATGCAAAACATAGACTACCTGTTCGAACTCTAGCACACTAGAGTGAGCACTTTACCTACTATTCGTTCTGGGATGGAGCACTTCCTCGATGCTGACAGGGCCACAGCGCCAGAGCGAAAGCGCAGAGTGCGTGGTGTGCGCATGCGCGTGAAATATTTTTTACATAACGGACGAAACTAGGAAAGGTGGGGAAAAAATACTAATAAATTAATAGATGAAAGAAATTTAAGGAAGTCCGTGAAGTGTTTAGTTTTGCGCATGCGTAGTGCGTATCTACGCTAGGCAGAGGGTTTGCGCGTCAGTGCTTTTTAGGTTTCCAATCAGTAATTTGTCTGTCTCTCACAGACCTCATTGTCCTTTTAGTTTTTGTGCGCCAAGCCAAGCGTGTATAAACTGCGCCAAGTATAAATAAATCGCTAATTGCTTCATTTTTCATTTTTTACATGAAATAGGTAATAACAATGGAGTATTAGCTCTAGCATTTCATTAGTTGCAGCCAGCAGTGCCAACACCCCCTGTGCCGATGCAGACGTATGGATCTCCTGTCGTCGGATTCACTTGTCCCATCAGTAGCTTATCCACAAGTTCTAGGAAGGTAAGCTCGAACTCGTCAAAGCTAATGAAGTTGAACAGATGGAAGGAGTTTGGATCTGCGTTGCTGATGCATTCAAGCTCTGGATCGTAAGCGTTTGCGATTCCGAGGGCGTAGGTAGTGACGCCGTATCGGTTGTGCAGGCATGCAATCTCATCGCAGACGTTTAGATTTGGATCGTTGGATCTTCCGTCAGTGATGAAAACAACGTCGATGCAGTCCGAGGCAACAGGGACACCACAAGTTTGAGTAAGCATGAAGTCGCAGACGCACTGCGCGGCTCCGGCTGTGTGGGTCCAGCGAGTTCCAGAACGACTGTACCCGTAGTCGATGCTGCTGATGGCGTCCCTGGCGTTTACTCGTCCTCCGCACGTGTTGTCGAAGCAATCGAAGCAAAACTCGACAAAGTATTCGTGGTCGAACGTCATCACTGCGATTTTGATCGGGTTGCAGAAAAAGAGAACCAGCTCGCTGAGGACGGCGGTCACTCGATCGAAGTCGCTTTTTCCGACGCTCCCAGACGTGTCCAGAACGAAGAGAATGTGCTGGGTGCTAGTTGGTCCGCAGCGGGACTGGCGCCTGTAGCGGTGTCCATGCTCCGTCATGTTGAACTGCGTTGGCTTGAAGGGGAGTGGCTCGGGTTCGGCTGTTGAGCGACGCTGCTTATTGATTGGTCTCTTGAGTTCCTCTCGAACAGACCGCTTACCTAAAACAAAAAACCTGAATGTCATAGCTGTAGATTCTAGTTAGCTAGTAGATATACGTACCATGGGGAACGGTAACATGTTGGCAAGTTTTTCGCGTGTCGTCGCATTGAAGGGTCAGCGCGGAAGGAGCTAAAATTTTGTTGAGTGGTTGGCTGACAAGGCTGAGTGGTGCGAAGCCAGGTGCGGGCTGCGCCCCCGGAGCGGCACCAGGATTAATCATCTGTCCAGCACTGCCAAGTCCGAGAGCCATGATTATCTGATCCACCAATTCAGGCTCACCTGTGAAAAGTTAGAGTAAGGATGATAAGAAAATGAATAATGCAACAAACATTCATCCTACGTATACTACAGATCTAAAAATACTCACATATGGTCCTTGTCTCCACTCTGGGGTCGCATGTGCCGAAAATAACGGATTGTGTTCTCTCCTCCGTTACGACAGATCCGCTGGGGCACTGGGAGGTGGGCACTGGCCGAGAACTGATCCTTTCCCATTCGCCCCATTCGCTATAGGAACACTGACAGTGAGTGAAGCGGTGTGCAAACGCAGGCAAAAGTCGCAGTTGACTATTGCAAGGCAGTTGGCACGAGGCCACTGCGATGAGAGCGAAGGCGATTGCTGCGTGAAGATGCATGTCAACTTTTGAGATCGTTGCACTTCAGGGGTTGATGTGCAGGTCTGTGTCGCATCCACTTTATACTTAGTGATCAGAATGACCTCAATGTCAACGTGTGCCACGGTCCTAACTCTGGAGCTCTATTGTTTAGCGAAACCTCAGTTTGTCTTTCCGTCGCCATTTCTCATTAGCACCCCGTTAGGGGTGGTGCTTCCGCGGCGGCGGAGGTCCCCGATAGGAGACCTTGCACAGGTCCATCCTGTGCCCAAAGGATTCACGGATGCCCTTGAAATGTCAACGTGTGCCACGGCCCTAACTCTGTAGCTTTGTTGTTTAGCGACACCTCAGTTTGTTTTTGCGTCGCCATTTCTCATTAGCACCCCCGTTAGCGGTGCTGCTTCCGCGGCGGAGGTCCTCAATAGGAGATCTTGCACAGGTCCATCCTGTGCCCAAAGGATTCACGGATGCCCTTGAAATGTTCTAGAATGTGATTACTTTGTTTAGACATCCGGGAATTGGGTGAATATATGGCACTGGTGGTTACTGAAATCATTGTGGGTGTGCAAGAATTGAGGAAGTGCAGGTCTTCTAACCAACAACGCCCCTGACAGCGGCCAATTTGGAACCACGTCCGTTGGCAACCGTTTAGCAACAGTCTCCTCGGCTGGTAGACACAACCGTAACGTAGGTGCTGTTGGATATTCATCGCAGGTGTATATTATAGCTAGAGCATTTTCTGCACGCATCGTGTACAGCGCCACCGTAAACGGGACAGAGTTGCGCGGAAGCTCTCGCGCAGCTAGCCAGCTCCACGTGCGTCATTGCGGTACAACATGCGCAATTATCCCCGTATCTACATCACGTGAGCTTGTAATACAACGCGCATGCGCAGGACGCTTGCTGAAGTATTTTTTCCCAGTTATGCACTATTCATAATGCTCCGTATCTGGTGTAGTGTGTCCACCAGTTGGTCCATGTGGACACCCATCGTCTGATATCTAGTCTGCATTATCATATCCAGGAGCTGTTCTCTGGTTAATTCCGGCGATGGCAGCGCCTCGTCGAGTCTTGGGTTGAAGCGAAAGAAAGGAATGCCTTGCGACTGCAGGCGGCTTTGGCAGTTCTCAGCCACAGACTCTGATTCCATCAACTGTATATACAATGAGAGAATAATCAACATGGCAGGTACATGGCAACTCTACTGTCAAAGCTGAACGATAGATGAATGAATTATTGATCTAGATGATTTTGAGGATATCAGTATATAAATTGGGCCTGTTAGACTGCATTGAGATGTGCAATACGTTACTGCTACTGATACCAAACTTTCAGACAAGGAATGTACTGAAGTATGCATGCAAACACCCTTTGGGCGCCACAGGTGTCTCCTTAAATAAGCAGAAATTGATGTATAACATATTAGCACCTAGTATTATAGCCATATATAAATTCTTATGCACTTATGGAGGCTCAGTGCATATATATATGTAAAACGCGCCCAAAGGGTTATTTAAAGAATCTGTTCGTCAATAATTCCCGCGTCTGACTCCACTGACTCACAGCCTTTATTAGCAATGTGATGAGATTCTCCACTGTCTGGAAGGGACCAGACTTTGACTTGAACCAGTGCTTCCCGAAAAACAGGAACTGCTGTGCATCTGTGCTGCCCAGGTCCTCGGCTGGAAATATCCCCGCCCCGACAGACACCACCAGGGCCACTCTGTCTCTCTGGGCCTCCCTTGAAGAGTTGGCATTGTAGGCTACTTGGCCACGATTTCCCCTGTGGGAGGGATAGATGCAGACCATGACATGGCAGAAATTTAGAGCTGAAGCACCTCACCCCTCATCCAATGTACAGGGATGCTAAGACGCCATCTGCATTAACCCCTTTAAACTTCCACTACCTATGTTTTTTTCTATATATATACCTAAGGCCCATCTTTTGAAAATAGTCTCTTCCTCTTCCTTGCCACCAGAGCTACCATGGTTTCCCGTTAAAAAATTCTTTTCCCAAGATTTCACAATAATAATGTTATTATGCTATGATCAAGAAGCTATAAAGTTAACATGGAGATTGAGTGACTTTACTTAAAGTAGTTGTTGATAGCCGTGAGGGCATAATCGCAGGGATTGTTGGCCAGTACAGCTCCATCAACATAGTGGTCCAACTCAGAGAAAAACAGAGGTGCTGCTGATGTGTACCTTGCAACCTTCCACACTGGATCTGTACATAAAGAAAACTTTATCATTGCAAACTGTCAGCTGCGAGGAAGTATTATAATGTGCAAGAATGCATGGCTGACAATGCTCGTGGATGTATTTGAGGCTTACACTTGCTGAACTCATTGTCGAAAGCAGTTGTTAAGTAAGTGAAGTTCTGGCTGGTTGGTTTTCTTGTACACCGCAGTTATGAGGACCCTGGGCATTAAATAGAATATGGAGCCTTCCGTACAGGAAACACATGGATGGTTCGAGAACAGAAGTATTGATTGTATCCTAGACACAAACCTTGGGTAGCTAACATCGCTCATCAGTGCCTCGGTTCCAAACTCTTGTTTCAGAACTCTCTCAAAGGACTCTGTGTTGTAGCCCATGCCCATTCTCCCAGCGGAGAACACATGGTCTCTCAGCTTGAAGTAGAGCTGACGTAGCTCACTCAAGTTCTTCTTCGCTGTGAGTATTATAATAATAAAGCACAGTTCACCTATTGCTACAGGGGTGGGCAGGGTTGATTTTTATGTGCGAAAAAACCATGGGAAATATAGCTACGTATACATACAGCTGCTCTGCAATTATCACACCCCAAGGTTTTGCACTTGTATATATACAGCTACTGGAGAAAAGAATATTGCTACGATGTGAATTAGGACTTCACTTTATAGCTATAGGCGACTGTGTTTTATTACCATAAACTAGTCCAAGAGCGAGAATTCCTCCAGTCGATGTCCCAACTATCCAGTCAAATATCTCTGTCACCTTTGCACCTGTTCTCAGCTCCAGCTGACGAAGAACCTGACAAGAAGTAATTATAATATCGCCCTCAATGCAACTCGGGGTGAATGACTGCTGAGAAATATTGTAAAGCAGGACCATTCAGTAGTTGCATAAGGGACAGAAGACATTAGTTGTATTATTATACTCCAGAGAGGCAGTGAGATAACAACTGGGCCCATTGTTTCGACGTTTCTTTTCAGTGGCGAATCCAGGGGGTTCTGCGGAACCCCCCATTGTGTCCTTTTGCGAGCATGCATCCCCGGCCTCTTGCGCGCTGCACGAGCGCAGTCGAAAACGTTCTGGACAGTGCAACCCCCCTTTCAATATCCTAGATCCACCACTGCTTTTGTTCAAGTTACTGACAGTAGTAGTAAGAGGGGTATTATTTAGAGTTACCTCTATTTGTATAAGACCCCTGACTCCACCTCCGTCAAGACACAGAACACGACTCCCTGCACGAGGTCGGGTGAGGGACGACGGGAAATGCTGAGTCTTCTGATACCGCAATAGCTCCCTCTGCTGTTTCGTCATCGCTATTGCTTCGTCTACACTGGTACCCAAGGATTCTGAGAAGATGGTTTGGGTGAGGAAACATTCACTTTAGCAGGATACTTTTGTTCTTACCCGAAAAAGTGAGATGAGCGTTTATGTATTCACTGAGCTTCTGATAAAGAGTTGAAGACGCCTTGCCTGTAATTATGATAGATATATAGAGAGCAATCAGTGATATTGCTAGCAAAGTCTCAAAGGCATCATCACAAAAGTCTTTTGAAACATAACGTATTCTTTCTTGTGCATTCAGCCCAAATATTACCACTTATAGTCTGTTACCTTCTTCGAGATCTTTGAGAATGACTTCCCTCCATCCACCTCCAGAGAAGACCAACTCTTCAGAGCCGGCACAGGGACCCCTCTCAGGAGCATCACCCATTGCACTTCCATCATCAACAACCTCACACCCTGCGGCATCGCAATCTTCACTCCCATTACCTTCCACTTGTGGCGGGTCGTGTTCATTGTGGGAGTCATGCACACCATTGACCAGGTCATTGTCTGTATCAAAAGGCTGAAAAGTTGTTCCATTAACATCATCACTGTCATACGTACTCGAAACTTTCAAGGGAGAAATATTTCGCAATTTATATTATACAGGCTGTCTGTAAAAGGTTTATCTACAAGGCTGTGTCTTGAGGGGGCCAACTGTCTGCCAAAATTTTGCATTAGCTGCTGTAAGGCAAAATGTTTTCTCTCAACCCATTGGACGCCATGGGTATCTGCTTAAAAAAGCAGAAATTTAAGTATAAAGTATTAGCGCTTAGTAGTAAAATCCCCATATAAATTCTTATGGACTTATGGAGGCTCTGGGCACATTTATGTGCCAGCGGCTGTGGTTAGTTTCCAGCTACACCAACAGTACAGTGGATAACAATGCTGTGGTGCTAAAATAACCAGAAATGGCTGTAGTAGTGATGAACAAACCACACCTGTCACAACTACTCCCTCCCCCGTGTATTACATTTTCACCAACCTGGTTAAATGGCTCCAATTTCCGAATGGCGGCTGGTCCATCCTCTTCACTCAGGAGAGCATCACCTGTTTTTCCATCGACTGAGATCAGCATGGCGACAGTGTTGCAGCTCTCTATAGATATGGCAAGATCCAGTGGCGTCTGACAGTGGTTATTGAGAGGGTTGACTTCAGCTCCGAAGATGAGTAGCATCTTTACTAGTTCCTCATCCCCTTCCTATGGGCACAAAAACGGGACCATTTAATGTTCATTCTTTTATGGGCATATAGCTACTCAGAATCTTGGACGTGTGGGTCCCCTATTCATTGTTGAAGCTTGACTCATGCACAATACCTAGCCTGCCAAGCCAAGAATGTTCAAGGCATTTTCTTGTAGTAATTCACTCTTTAGTGTATTCATATATATAAATTGAGTGAGGGAAAATTGTATTTTGGTGGAGTAGATATGCAGTACATAATGTATTATACAATAGAGTCACAATAGCCGGCATTCAGCCCTCAAGAGTTCTTTTGGGGGAGTTTGATAGTGATAGCCTTGACTTCGCTGTACTGCTGGAGACCATACTCCCCAAGCTCTCGCCCACTGCCCGACTCCTTGAACCCTCCAAACGGCGACTGAACGCTGAAGTTGTTGTAGCAGTTGACCCAAATGATGCCCGCTTGGATTCCCTGTGACACCATCATGGCTTTCTCCAGGTCCCGCGTAAAGACCGAGGCAGCAAGACCGTACTTGGTGTTGTTGGCACGCTCGATCACCTCTTCGACCGTCTTGAATTTCATAATCTGCATGACTGGTCCGAAAATCTCCTCTTGAGCTATGCGCATGTCGTCCTTGACTTCAGTGAACACGGTCGGTTCGACAAAGTAGCCCTTGTCGCCGATTCGCTCGCCGCCGCAAGCCAGAGTGGCTCCTTCCTTCTTCCCACTCTCGATGAGGTCCATGATCTTGTCCATCTGCTCCTGGTCAACCTGCGGACCTTGTTCGCAATCAGGGTGGAGGGGATCCATCACCTTTCGAGCCTTTGCGCGAGCCACGCTCCTCTTGACAAACTCATCGTAGATGGACTCCTGGACGTAGGTACGTGAGCCGCACAGCAACACTGACCCTGGTTGAAGAAGAGAGCCATGTGACTTGTCTCGATGGCCAAGTCAAGGTCGGCGTCCTCGAGGATGATGTTGGGGCTCTTCCCTCCGAGTTCCAGGGTCACATTCTTGAGGTTGCTGGCTCCTGCAGCCTGCATGATAAGGTGGCCAACTTCCGTGGACCCCGTGAAGGCAATCTTTCGGACTTTCGGGTGGGAAGCGATAGCTGCGCCGGCGGTGGGGCCGTAGCCTGGGATTATGTTGACGACCCCGGGCGGGAATCCGGCCTCAGCGATCAGCGCGGCGACATGAAGCGCTGTGAGTGGCGTCTGCTCCGCGGGCTTCATGACGATGGTGTTCCCCGCGCACAGGGCCGGGCCCAGCTTCCAGGCCTGCATGAGCAGAGGAAAGTTCCACGGAATGATCTGTCCCACCACACCCATCGGCTCGTGGCGCGTGAAAGTCATGAAGCTCCCGTCTACGGGGATCGTCTTCCCGTGGATCTTGTCCGCCCAGCCGGCAAAGTAGCGGTAGCACTTGATGGTGAGGTCCAGGTCCGCGGAGTAGGCGACGGAATAGGGCTTTCCGTTGTCCAGCGTCTCCAGACGAGCGAGGTATTCCCGGTCTCGCTCGATGAGGTCCGACAGCTTGTACAGCAGGCGCCCTCGGTCCGAGGCGTCCATGGTGCGCCACACGCTCCCAAGCTTGAACGCCTGCTCGGCAGCGGCCACTGCCTTCTCGACATCGGCTTTATCTCCTTCTGCTACGTCGGTGATCTTTTCGCCAGTCGCCGGGTTGACGGTCGGGAAAGTGGCGCCGCTGACGGCATCACACCACTCATTGTTGATGAATATCTTGTTGTACTTGACCTCAGGGGCCGAGTCAAAGCGCAACTTCTTCGTTGGAGGCGGACCAGACATGTTATTCAAGCTGCTCAACAAAGCCCTGAAAAAGCCCTTGTGAAGTTTTACGAACGCAAGTAATAATTACGCATGCGCAGAAGGGAGATTTGCGCGGGGGGGATGCATACATACCGTAATGTTCTATATAACTGATTCTAAATATGCGCGAAACATTGAACAACCATTGCAAATTATTTATTTGCGCATGCGTACTTTACCAACCATTACGGCCAAATGAAGGGCTGTATCTCCGGACGACAGTGAGCACTGGTTCACATCCACTCGTGAGCATCCATTCACAAGCAGGGTCATCAGTAGGTCGGCTCTTTTTCTCCTCTTGCGGCGGATTATGCCATGTACTGGAGCATCTCCGTCCACATTGGGAGCATTGAGGTCAACATCTATACCCTCCATATGCTTCAGTAGGGTCTGAGGTGATGTGGTAGACAGTGTGACACTAGGTAATTGCATTACACTGACAGACATCTAAGGGCAGGTGCGGAGTTTTTCACGCCTCATTTACCTGAAGATTATTGCACACTTTACACATTAAAAATTACCCATGCATTCCACACTTATTTGTAGCAATAGCTATACCTCGTGTTTTTAGGGTAGTGAAGTGGATTTTCTGACTGCTGCTTTGACTTTCTTCTGAAGGGCAACTTCTAAATGGCAGCATAGATAAAATAATGATTGGTATAGTAGGTATAAACATGTGATGTTCAACTTGAGGTCTAGATAAACATACACACAATAGATGCACATTCCATAGCTTATAGTGACTAGTGGTTTGCTTGTTAAAAGTGTTAGGTCATGCAGAAATACTAACGTGCACTTTGCTCTGCGGAATTCATAAACAGGTGTTAGACTTACACTTGTTTTCAGTAGATTTGGAGAGAGCGGTGGGAAGGTCTGGTGACTAATACCACTGAGGCCATTTGGTGTGGATGCACTGTGTCGAATTTTGCACAGACTGCTGGTGGATATCGTCAGAGACTTTTGGGGAAGTATAACATCATCTTGACTTGCGGTCCTTTCCATATCATTTACTGTGTGTTTGCCTGGGCTGGTGTCTCGACACAGTCCAACGGTGTCCCAGGAAGACCATCGGGCCATGGTGGCAGCATACTTTAGTCGTGGCGGAGGAGAGCCTACTAGAGTGTAGCCGGGGGCTCGTAATACTTGGTCGTGCTTCATGTCCTAGGGATACCAGAGTATATAGCCGGTGCACGTATAGCAAAGACGCACTGAGAAATCAGTGCAGTTCACAGCAATAAGGTCGTCTTAGCTATAACTCACGGTTCCATTAGAGGCTGTCTCTGTACTGGTTACAGTAAGCGCAGGTATTGCAAGTGATTCCGATACCGCAAGATATCTACCACCTTCAGCCATTTCTACACACAAGCATTAGCTTATCCTCCGCTGATCAGCAGGCCTTTGGAGTCGCATATACTTTCTAGTTGAATACGTCGAAAACGTAAACATACGTACGTCGTATATATAATCGACTTTTGCCTGGCAGACGACTATACTTAATAGCTAACTGCGCACGGACCGGCGCGCATGCGGTGGTGCGCACGTAACACGCCCATTCAGGTGAAACAAGGAGAGATGACCATATATAGAAATCTGTACAGGTCACAAAGCTCTTCTCTTTCTAAACCGTTCCTTCTGAGTAGCCTCGGCTATCCTCGAGAACTGTATGCGAATATCCTCCATCCTTGGGACAGTCTTAACAATAGTCGACAGGAGCATGTTTATCAATATCTTGTTGTCAGTCTCTCCTGTTGCTACGGTTTCGGCGAGCTTGGGACTGAAGCGGTAGTAGGGTGTACCCTGACCTTCGCAACGTGCCTTTGTGTTCATGGCAACTGTTTCAGATTCAACCAACTGGAGGGAAATTGACAATGTATGATTTATGCAGTGAAGTATTTGAGGAAAATTTTCTTTTGCGACCAAAACAGCAGTTCCTTCTGAATTGCTTTTGTATATAAGTGCATTGTAAGGCTTACAGCATTGGAGAGGAGCTGAATGAGGTTCATTGCTCTCGTCTTCACGGTATCCTGGAAACTCAGCCACTGCTTCCCGAAAAACATGAAGTCTTGTACGTCTATTCTGCCCAGCTCCTCGGCAGGGTATATCCCAGTGCCGACTGATACCTGTATAATTATGAGAAAACTGGTTTAAAAAATAATCATAGAGCAATGAGCAATTCCACTCAAACTTGGAAAGAGCTACAATAATTGCGCTGTAGCTACGTATACGTATTGTGGGTGTGTGTGTGTGTATGCAGCTATTGTAGGCTGCTTGGCAAAATTATGTGGCGAAAATAACTTGTATCTCAAATCTTACCACTATTGCTATGGTCAGTGGCAACCCTCTGGAATGAAAATGCTCCTGGACGGCAGTCAACCCGGTCTCAGAGGGGTTATTGGCGAGGACTCCTCCATCAACATAGTCGTCACACTCCTTGAAAAACATTGGTGCTGCCGTCGTATAGCGAGCAACTTTCCACACTTTCTCTAAAAGACAAAGGTATTGTTAATACTCTGTAAGGCACAAGATATATATAGCACACACACTGTTTATACCAGGGGGATAAACTATGTGCTTTGTTTGCAGATAAATACTTTCATGGACTGCTTGTTCTGCGCTACAAAATGTTCATCGCCCACAAAAAAACTTTGCCAATTCAGTGGCAAACTTTTAAATTTCCAGCCTCAAAAGTATTCAGCTACCTATACACACTTGTGTGTGTGGGTATGTATGTTGTGATGAGTGCTCACGTGTGCTGAACTGGTCACCGAAGCAGTTATTGAAGAAGTGGAGATCCGGCGGGGTGTTCTTCTTGTGCACTGCAGACACCAGCACACTGTGGACAGGGCAACAACAGATTACGAGGAAAAAGACCAAACATCATGTGTGGTCCGAGAAGTGTCCTTTACTTTGAAGGTCCTTTTTTGCCCTGGGTATACTCATTTTGTGGGGAGACCCACAATTTGTAGCCCTATTGTATACTACACAGTTATTTCTGACTCTGACTCACTTGATAGAGTTTGTGGTGGGGCAGTTCATAGTCATGTGTGGAGGGAAAGCTTCCTTCAGGAGTCTCTCGAGAGCTACCGTGTTAAAGCCGTAGCTGCCACCGGTAAACACCTCGTTTCTTCATCTTGAAATAGAGATATCGAACTTCCTCAAGTGACTTTTCACCTACCAATGAAAAGTGGTTATGTTGCCAATCACACCATAAAGAGGATTATAGGGAGAATAGAGGTTATATGAGAAAACACAATCAAGGGAACAAGAGGATGGCAAACATTTAGAAGGATAGAAAGGGAAGAGAAGAAGGATAGAGAGGGAACAGAAGAGGAAGAGAGAGTGACTGACCATAGATGAGTGCGAGGGCAATGAGGGCTCCACCGGAGGTCCCAATGATCCAGTCAAACAGATCGACTATCTTGCGACCAGTCACCCTTTCAATCTGGATCAAAACACGCAATTAATCCGCAGGCTTTTCTTGTTAAACATGCGGTGCCTACATCATACATTTAAGGCACACACATGGGCCATCTTTAGTTGCGAGGTCTAGTTATGTACTACTATGGCATGCCACACTGAACAACAACTTGTACTAGATATTTTTACTTTAGCTTCATTTCTTCTGGGAGGTGCCTTCAGGTGACACCCTGCTGTTCTAAAACTTTCCACCCCATGAACAGGCTCTTGGTAACAATGACTTTCCATGCGATAATAATGTGCACGAGGAACTTATCTCAGGATATTATTATGTGACATTTTGTTGGAACACTATTAATGGGGCTGAGCTTTAGCAGATCCATCCAGTAAGTCTTCATGTCCATCAACTTGTATATACAGGTACCTGTGAGAGGACCTCAATCTGCAAGAGACCCCTCATGCCGCCTCCATCCAAACACAGGACTCTGATCCCAGCCTTGGCCCTCATGCCACCCCATTCTACCACTTCCTCTGCATGTACAAACAACGTGGGAGTAAATCAGTTGAGTATGTGGTATGTAGCGTGCATTGGGCATCGCAACCTCTTCAGTACGTCAGTATAGTACAGTTCAAATACTTTTAGGTTCAAAAATTTCATTGTTCAACATTGCATCTGTCTTTACGTAGCACGCTTTAAACATTAAACAGCGACACAAGCTAAGATGGACTGGTGAAACTTAAGTATATACAAGAGCAACTTCCCTACCTGCTTCAAACATGTGCAGAGTCTTGTTGTACTGCCTCATCTCTGTCTGCTGGAGAGCCAGAGCTATTGCCTTGTCAGCAGTATTCTCGTCCAAATCATCCATCCACGAGAGTTCCTCCATCTTTCTGTTGATGGTGTCCTCGAGGGCCTCGTAGAGGTTGAGTATCGTCAAAAAGGTGTGTTGGTTACCGTCCCTTTGATTTGAAACGAAAGCAATACCACGTCCTGATATCCTACCAGTCCATTATATGCGTGGTGAACTCTCTTACTTTAACATCATACAACAGCTAGATAAGGCATTCAATTTTTAAGGGTAGTTAATAATTTTTAAGTTAATAATTAATAACGTTAGTAAACACAGTACTCACCTCTGTATGGCAATGAACAGAAAATCAAACAAGAGTTTTTGAAATGGGCTTTTCTTAAAAACTACAATCCGTCTCAGTTGTGTGCGGTTCTCAAAGACCCACGTGAGATTGTTTAATCTTCGCGGACGGGGTTCGGAAAGACGCGTGTGCTAACGGCCGCGGATCGCGCTTCTCGTCTAGGACAACGCGACTTTTTGGCCGTCTCGGTCTCTAGCGGATGACTTTCCCACACGCCCGCTATAACTGCTGATAATGCGCTGACGGGTTGAAAAATGGCTACGGTTTAGAGGCGTGAACCCATCACAACATTACCCGGCTATGGCCGTGAAGTGCTTTAACCAGTTTTATCGCTCACAACCCACACCTGCGGGGGGGGTGTCACGGATAGTTGGTTTCTTGGCGAAACGATAGGGCACCATTGTAGTTGGCTATGGACCGGCATTGACAGATTACGGAACAAACATCCCGCTGCTTGATCCCAAAAGGACGCACCGTTTGCGGCATAACAACCGGAGATTCGGATTACAGCTGGCTTCTCGGACAGTCACCATGTGCGTTAGTCCGAGAGGACACACCCAAACGTCAGACTTCTCTCCTTTTGCAGCAGTCTTATAGCAGGCAACTCAGGCCTTGGAAATCCGCATCCGGAGCTCCCAGACTTGCTACTGACGCGATTCTGGGAACGTGTTAACTAACACTCGCTAAACTTACGTTACGTATTAATCCAGCCTCCATCACGTCTGAAACAAATAACGTCCACACCCGCACATCTGTATGCCAAAACGTCGGCCATCACTCTAACCAAGACAAAGATCTCGCAGAAGATCCAGAAAGTGCTTGGGACGTTGTTGGAAGAATAGCAATCAAATAATCCGGATTTCCTTGGATGCCGTCGCAGTGGTCTACAACCCATCGTCTCGAAACAAAATGGACTCAGTGATTACAACAAACACCCAAGCCCATTGCGTGGGCACATCCCACACCCCACAACGACATCAAACGAAACACAGAAACCGGATTCTACGAACGATCCAGAAACTACCTCGCTACAGCACCAGGGTTATACGACGCTTACTCTTCATGGGAGGAGTTTCAAGATACCGATCCCGATGCAATTTGAAACGCTACGGCTGCTCTCCGGCGAAACATCACAATCTCAAAACAGGAAGCCTTTCGAGTAGATCCAAATCAGGCATTTACGGATTCAGAAGGCGCAAGAAATGTCCTCTGATACTTCGGTTCAAGATCTTTTCCCATAACGCAAGGGTCGGTCGCTCTCGACAAAACCAACTTCGCTACCACACATCAGAAGAAAGAATCGTATGACGCTTCCTTATTCCGTCGTCAACAAACAGATTTCGTCCAAGAAAAATGGATGAAACGCTGGTCGTCATAAGGACTTCGTGTGTTCGTCTCCTGTCCGAAATGCTCAAAACTCACGAGAATTCAGTCCCGTTACCGAGCAGGATTTAACATGTCATCTTAGCACTCGCACCAACCAACTCGTCAAATCTAATTGGTAGAAAACTTACACAGGACGGAATCCCCTACAAACCATCATAACGCTCAATGGCAAAGCCACCGATGGATTTCTGTGTCCCTAATCAATCGCGTGACTCCTGTCGCTGAATGTCTTACGCATCTTACCCCCTCAGGATGCTCTCGAAGACGACGAACGACTTTTTTGCGGTCGAATTCAACACCTCAAGTGAGTCGTCCCATATACAATGGCAACCAATATACCGATCCAGAAGTATTACGGAAAACTTACAAAAGTAAAGACGGGCAGTTTATCAAGTGGATTTCCTTTTCGAAGCGGAACCCTTCCGTCCCCGAGATCGAGAAAATCACCACTCTTGAAACTGAGTCCTAAACTATCCATATACCCAGCCTTAATATCACAAGACAGCAAGAGACAACCTATCTTCAAAACGGTTTTTAGAACGAAAAGAAACTGCCCAACTTACACTCAATTGCTCGTGATGCCAATAAAAACCGTGCGCACCAGATCATTACTCAACAAAAGGACTCGAATTTCCCTGTCGTCGTTGTCGACTTTGATCGGATTTTAACGGCCCTGTGAGATACTTCCCAAGAAATACAGGACGACAAAATGCCAGGGTGGCTCTAATGTCGAATGTCTCGTGCCAAGACACTCTACTTACTCGCAGGAATAATCAGATGTTCACCAAAACTTGGTTCTTCTCTCACTCACTTTTCTAAAAGTCACAGACCACTTGAAACGGTGGTGGTTCCCATATAAACTGCGCCATTATGCAACAAACAAAAAGACCGTCTCAATACCAGTCAAAATACCCTTCTTTTGCCTTGTTTCAGAAGCGGGGTTTGGGGTAAGACCCCACTCTTCACTCTTATTAAGTCGTTTCGCTCATACAAACCAATTCAAATCAGATGTAAATCCGTCCCGCCGATAAACGATAAAATTAATAACGACATTAAAGCAGCCGGTACAAACGATCCCCCGCCTTGCCTTACCAACCTATCGGTGGCGAAGGCGCAGGCGGGTGGCCTGAAAATCGACCGTGCGGCGTTACCAATACCCACCATTGGGCGGTCTGACAACCACCCTGTGTGCGGTATCAAAGACTGCCGACAACAATGCTGATTGTTTCAGCTCGGCGTGCCTCAATATAAAGGTTCGATGTCCCTTAATGACACGCCTTCGGGATCCGAATGCAACTCTCGAATCCGGAAACGAGTTTCCATTTCTCCGATCCATGCACGACACAACTCTTTTTCCCACAATCTCGTCGATATAACGTCGACAAAAACCGCCAGTTTTTTTTGCCCTGAGTAGACAAGTGATTGCTGTGTTGTCACAACTTCCCAACTTCCCGACTTTACACCTTGTCCGTATCGTGCTAGCATCCCGTGAACGTTCTGCTTAACGGTTTATTCGGAAACCTTGGCTTAGGATAAGTTGGAACAACGGATGCCCCCACAAGCGTTTGACAGGCGTTCTAACATCCCCGCTTTTCTGCAGTGCTCTTAAATTAATCGCGCGTCGCGACCGTTTGTTTGCCAAAACAACCTGTTACAACTCAATACAGTGGGTACGAAGAACCATCAACTCAAGGTCTCTCCCTCTGTCAATCGTCAGTTATGCCGTTGTTCCACCCTTTGCCAATCCGAATAGTACAAACTTCAAGGCAAATCCAGACCAGACACGCCTTCCATGAAATGCTCAACCCACCGGCTTTCATCCTTCAATAAGGACCGCTTTGCCATAACGGCACCGCAATTTTCATTTCCACGGCGAGGCGGCGCCGTATTATACATCAGTAGGCCACATCGTCATTGGCACAGTTATGTGAAAATTCCTCAGTTTCATAAATTGCCGCCCTTTAGCCCATTTTTTAGAGCGTCAGCCAGTGCATACTAACCGCTTCAGCACCTCAGGATATAACGATGCGAGGCATGGAATCGCGTCTGCCAGCCCACGGGCCCAGAGATCCATTTTGTTATCGACGCATTCGCCCCATGTAGCTGTATGGTTTAATTTGGAGTACACAATCGCATCATCGTTTCAATCGAACCGCTTAGACGCATTCGGATAATTTCGAACATAAACCTCGCCGAACGGCACCTGCAACACGCAATCGTCGGTTTTTGATACTTCGCATGCCGTTTTGATGAAAATTAAAGTGGTGCGCCGGAATAGAAAATGTCCCGCCGTAATAAACCGCTGAATTTTAATTTTATTCAAACATTCCGATTTCTAACTTACTTCTATTCTTAGGTCTTCTTTCTTATCTTCCTTTCGAGTAACGAAAGACAGTTTTTTGCGCAAAAAACAGCATTGTGCCAAAAAAAAAACATTTTTCGGACAAATAACAAATTTTATAGTAAAATAACTTACAGAAAAAACAAACGCTAATTGCTCGCGTTGTTATGGTTTCTCAACCCTCTCGCAATGAACTGTTTTTGAGTACACTTCCTATCAGGAATTATGTATGAACAACAAAAGGTGACGTTTCACAATCGTCGCCTTTTTGTTTTTAAAAAAAACACCTTTTAATAAAATGATCGTACGCTGAATAGTTTACTATGCCTCCGTTAAACGATTTTGCATATTAATAAAATCCATAAATTAATAAAATAAAATTTTCAAGTATTCTAAACAATTATACCAAAAAAAACCATTTTTAGTAAATAATTCAACGGTTTCCTTTGATACGTGCGACATGTATTCCATCAGAAAAAGTCTGATAAGCGGTATCAGACTTTACGCAGCGTGAAGCAGTGCTGTGATACACTCCACTCCATCGGTGTGCGACTGTATATTGACAGGGACAAAATCAGCATTAGCATCAATTCTATTTGCAATCGTGTGCTGAAGGTAGTCCAGTCCGGTTTATTCCCGCGCTGTCTGTGACGTGCCCCTTGGCGGTGCAAGGAGGTAACAAGACCTGTTTATAGAGTTTTTCTCGAGAGTGCTTGCATTGTGGCGCGTTCACCGTGGACGACAGCGCAATCGCTTTCGGATTTGCCTGGCTTAACCCATCAGAGACGATCTGCGTGCTAGATCCGAATAAGTCGCCGAGATGTGAGACCGTTGAACGTCCTGCATTTCACTCACTTCACCGTAGAGAGCCGTCTGCGAACGCGAGTTCATCGCTTGCTGGAGTTCTTCTTGAAAGCCCGCAGCCGATCGTCCGGGTGATATCAGCATCCTGATAGCCGGAGCAATAGCGCTTGTATAGCACCCGGCGCTAACGACGCGGCTTTGCAGTAGTCCACAGATGACCCCGCCCGTGAGCATGCCGGAACTTGCGATGATGCAT